TAGTTTTCAGTCTCGTCTCAAATAACTATTTCCCAATCTACCAGTTTGAACGTTGGACCAGTTAAATTGATGTTGCAAATCAAAGTAAAGTAACTTTAAATGTTTAGAGCCACGTCAGACCGATTTGCATTTCCTTGTTTACATTGGTTTACATAAGGATCGAGTCAGCCAAACGTTGAACAAGCAAATGAAGCAAATCAGACTGGGAGCAGACCAGACCTACTTTCAGAGCGAGCGAGCGACCGCCTCTCATCAGGGTAATGACTTGGGAGATGCGCTTTGTATGTTCTTCAAGACGGCCATTCGTGATCAATGAGAGAAGCAAGAAACGTTTATTTGCTGGTCCGCTGCAACTTCAAACGCATGTTCACAAGAATGTTTAATGCTCGCCTAAGTTATTAGACAATTACAAATAAAGAGCAGGGGCTCTTCAAAAATGATTTCGTCAAGTTTGACGCAGCTTCCGTTTCGGACCGAAAGAGCAGCTGAAAAGTTTCGTTGCCAAAATATTTGAGCCGTGCGTTCTATTCGCGGCTGAACAAATGGCGCTTATTAAGTAAATATATGTCTTTGAAAAGAGATACTTTCAGCATCCCTCACGCGTAACACTCGAGACACAAAGGGCTGCGCTTTTAAAACCGAAAGCCAAAAGTTGCGCTTGCGGCGTTCCGGGCCGAGTTGCTTGGCGGACGCGCAAACTTTCCTAGCGAAATAAACACACGCAGCGAGTGAAAATTCATATCTCTACCAGCCGACACAGAGTTGCTCTGCAAATATAGGCCTCAACTTTTGCGCTCTGTCTTGTGTACACAACAAGCAAACAAGCCGCCGGATTTTTGTCCGAACTTGCCATTCCGCGGCAAACAATGCAGATTGCAAGGATGAAGATGATGGATTGCAAAGAAATGTTGCGGAAAAGAAACTTGGAACGCACAAACTTAAGAGAAAGTCTAAATTATTAGCGTCCTCCAATAATTTCTGATCATAAAAATGCTTAAATTTTGTTCAAGGACCATTTAGATCAAACTTATTTCATGCTAACATTTCTTGGAACTTAGAATTCAAGAAGTATTCATAAAACTCTTGATTCCATTTTATTGGGACCAAACGGGCTGCAGAGAGGATTCATCTTGGTGCTCGAAAACCAACAAATCTCTATTCTCGAGACGTTTTACCCGGCCGAGCATTTCGTGCTTTGGGAAAATAAATAAGCTGGCGGACGAATGAACGGATCTCGCAGAATCCATCGCGGGCCATTAAAAATCACCTCTAGCTGCTGCAGTAATAGCCCTGTCTAACAAATTGGAAACATTTGAATGCGCCACGCACACAGATGAGAAAATCAAGAGGGTATTAGTTACGCTTTTTACCCGCGCGGGCTCGGCGAAAAAGCGCGCGCCGTAATAATGCGCAGCGCGGCACTAAAAAGTAATGGGGTTTTTTCTTCTCTCGAGTCCGAGATTAGTGCGAGCACTTTGAAATTCGCTGCTGCTCGCATCGCCTAATGGAAGGGAAAAGAGCGAGAGGATGTGTCAAATGCCGACTGACCTCTCACCGGGCATTTCAAGCCTCCACGAGAAAGCTCGTCCACAACACTATTGGAACTTTTGCCTTTTCCATTCCTAAAGAAAGAATCAGACAAAATTGTTTATTAAATTGCAACTTAAAACGCCTCTTGAAGCAATTTTTTAATGCACTGTCAAAATTTCAGTTTTCACGTGTGGGCTTTTTCAATTTTTGCTTGTGCGCCAAAAATGGATATACTTCTTCTTTTCGGTTCTTTCTCTGGCCAGACTAGCCATAAAAAAGAATAATTCGCGCATGTGAGTTTGTGTGTGGCTGCGCCGCGAGTTGCATCATTTGGGATTTTTGCCAAAAAAGGGGGAGGAAAACAAATTCCTTTGTTCGGGCTCAAGAAGAAACCCATAAACAGAGCAGCGAGAGAGTTATGCCGTTGGCTTTCTTGAGACGCTGATGTTGCTAATTTGAGATCGGAACCAAGAAAAACTTCGTTTGAATCCAGTTGAAAGATTTAAGTGCTTCTCCAGTTTCAATTTCGAAAAAGACAATTTAAGTCAAATTTAAAAAAAAAATCAAAAAGCTAACGATTAGAATATTTGCAGATTTTTTTGAGAAATTTTTTCTGCATTATCGAAGTAGAAAATCTAACTGCAAACATTGGAGGCACTTGCTGAAAACCAGCAGTTTTGAACTAAAGCGAACAGAACAAACGCGTTTCGGTCGTAAATCGGCACCCTTTGATCGAACTTTGAGGGGGCGCAAGTCAGTGTTAACAAAGTAGCATTCGCACAAAGCAAGTGAAAGAGCGATTGACACAGAGTGTGCACGTTTTATTGGCGCGCGGCTAAATAAATAAGCAGTAAAAGTTAAGCAGTTTTATTGGGCCAATCTGGTCGCTGCGCAGAAATTCCATTTGCAGTTGGAAAAGAGCAAAAGTCCTGCAAGTGAGCTCAAATAGGATAATTTGTGGACGGTCTAAATGAAAGCGGCAGCGTATCGGGCAAATAATGGAGCCAAGAGTTTATTGCGAAACTTTATGGGACCCCGGTCGGTCTCCACCCACGCAGCACAGACTCGGGGGCGACACTCGGATGCGGGCTGATTGGGGGTGGGTGTGTGTTTTTCTTTTTTCGAGTCGCGTGGCAACCGCACCAGGCCTGTAAATAACCCGCACCCTGTCTTTGTCACAAGGATTTGCACTCAACACGATTTGGACACCTACCGCGTGCTCCGTTGTTTCAAAGTTTCACCCCCCAATCTCGCACCTTTCGCCACAAAAACTTGGGCCAATTTTCGATCCCTCGTTTACTTTCGCAACAAAAAGGAAGAGAGCTTGGAATTTTTAAATCAGAAAAAAAACTTTTATAATGGGTGAAAATAAAAAGGTTGAATACTCAAACGGGTCTAAAATGGATTTTAAACACAATTGTGCGTTTAAATTTTAAATAAGAAATTGAATCAGAGGCATAAGATCAAATAATTAAAATTGTGAAAAATTTCACCTCAAAATCTATTTTGTTCTATGAAGTTTGGAATAAAATTTAATTTAACAAGTGGATCTTTTAATTTTTGTATGTTTCAATCTTCGTGGAATTTAATTCTAAAATGATTTTTTTGAAGGGATAAGCAGAGTAAGGCTGGAACCAGCTGGAACAAATGATTGCTAATTTCGCCACGGAAAAAATGTTAATTTAGTTCCTCCTAATGATTTTAGTCCCCTAATTGCAAGGAAAGAAATGATATATGATAATATTTGCTCAATAATTTAAGTCCATAAAGCTTAAATAGTGAAATGTTAAATATTGGTCTTTAATGCCTTATTTTTATTTTTAATTTAAATGAAAACAAATGAAAATGTGCATTAAGTCGGAAAAATATATTCAGGTGAATATATTCTGCACTTCCAATGCTCAAAAGATTCTCAAAAAAACTAAACTAGTTATAAAATTAAATCAAGGAATAATCGCTACAATGGGATTTTTTGTTGTTTCTCATTTCTTCCAAGTTTTTATTTTATTTTTCTCAAGTACTGAAATGAGAGGAAAAATGAGACAATTGACTAGCTTTCGTAAAAGGCAAATTGACAAAATTAAATTTGTCTAATACAATAAATTTTGATTCAATTCAATTCACACTCAACATCAAAAGACACCATGCCTCACCACACCCTATGATGGGAAAATAAGCAACAACAAAAATATTGACATAAAAATTATTCTCCACAGATATGATGTAAAATTTGAGAGACTCATAAGTCAATAAATATCAATAATAATAAAAGTAATAATTTCAAAAACCTAAAAAAGCAAAAAATTTGATGATGCATGAAAGTAAATTCATGTTCATCATTACAAGAAAAATCAGCCTCTTCTCAAAAATTATTTATGCAATTCATACCCATAAAAGTTTTGAATTAACATTGAACCTGTCAATAAAGAGAATGGTGTGATGTAAGATGTGTTAATTCAATGTATTTTAATCAAACATAAATAATTTAAATGTAATCGTGAAATTCTACCACAAAAATAAATAATCTAAATTAAAACAATGCGTTAATTTTTGTCACCAGAGTGTACACTCTGGTTTTTATCTTTTAAGCAAAAAGATTTTAATTTTTAAGTTAAAATGTGGTTTTTTTTTAATTTAGCTGTTTTTGTATTTTTTCTTGCTCGTGAAATAGGGTCGCAGACCGTAACCAAAACTGGTAGAGCCATTTGTTTTTAAAAAAAAAACGATTTTCGCAATGATGAAAAGCCTGATCTCTGCATTTCCACTATTTTTAATACGTCTGCAATATTTTCTCTAAAAAATAAAATAAAAAAATATCTGATCGTTTAAAAAATAATTGCGCTGAATTAGGGAGGGCAGCTCATTTTTTATTTTAATAACTTCCAGATCAGCGCAAGCTCACTGGAGACACAAAGACGAGCAAAACAACAAGACATATTTACATAAGAGGATAAAATTTCAAGTGTGTATATTATAATCTGCGACAGGTCTTGCCCGCGATAAAAAAGGCTGTTTGTATCAAACACACACGCATGCATGCGTCCGATAAGCGGCGGCGCACGTCACCGGACAGATAACAGGTGAAATGGGCCTGTAATCACATTAATTTATTTATCTCCACAATTAATGAAAAAATCGCACGTCGGCCGCCGCGATCAATTTATAATTGTTTTGAGAAAAAAACCGGAACTCACTCGAGGAGATACAAAGTCCGAAGGGGGAAAAAGAAAAACAGCTTTCTTGGGCGCGGTTTTCGCGGGCCGGGAGGGGCCGTGCAAGTGCAGCCCGGCAGGCCCAGTGGCCGGCCCTCGGCCGACCCGACCGGAAGAGGGGTGCACTGGGGCCGGGCGGACCGGAAGTGTCCGGGATGAGCGAGAGGAGACGGGATTTAAACACCCGCCCTCGGCGCCGGGCGCCGTCGGCGGAGGGGCACGGACGGGCCCTTTCGACAGGGTAGGCAAGGTACTCACCATGGTCTTGTAGTTGACCTTGCGGGTGGCCGGAGTCTCCATTCGGACGGCCATGGCCGCTGGTAAGTGAGCACAGGCGACGAAATACGGCCAAGAAGAAGTCAAGGCTGAGAGGGGTGTGTCCGCGGGAGTCGCAAACTATTGTCAGTGGCACCGCTGCTGGAGTGATGCGAGTGCGGGGGCGGCGCCGATTCGGCCGATCGGCGGTGTGAGCCCGGCGGTGCGGTGTCGGCAGGCGCTGTGCAAGCGGTCGGCAGCCCAAACTGTCCCTCGGCGAATATTTACTGCGAGATATTAATGTCCATTCTCACTACCATTTTGCTGCACAGACACGCCAGCTTGCACCACTCGTCGTGCGGCGGCGCTAGCGACGCTTCGCCCGCTTGGGGGCTCGGGAGCGCCAACCCTGCCCATTCACGTACGACGAAAACGCCGCCGCCGCCGACTTGCATAACATACGCGAAAAGAAGACTCTTGCGCGGTCACTTTTGCCCGCCCTCTTTCGAGTCAAATTTCGACTAAAAAGCAACCCACTGTATGCCACAATAACTCAATATTGTGCACTTCTTCAAGTTTTTTTAAGTAATTTTTTTCAATTCCAGGATTGAATTGATTAATTTTCTTATCAAAGATTATAAAAATTTTTCTTTTTTAATTAGCATTTTTTAGATTCAGTTCTTTTGATTTGACCCTTAAAATTCAATTTAAAATGTGATGAATTGAGATAATGAGTAATTATTTAATTTTGCTCTTCAAAATCATTGGAGCTTTAAAAATTGGAATATTTATGTACCGTTCTACAGCTGCGCTGGATGAATAAACCAAATTTACAACAATAGATACTTATTATTTTAAAATTCATAAAAAAATTGTTTTGACAACATTTTTTTTGTTATTTTTTAATCCAAATAGATCCAAATATATATTATATTTTTAAAATTAAAAAAAAAATACACTGAAAAGATCAAATGATTTTTTTTTATTTTTTTATTACCAAACCGGAGGCAATGCAAGTAATGCAACCCAAAATTCATAGCAAGGAATTTTGTATTAAAATATTAAAAACAGTACCTTCTGATTTCAGAATTGTATCTGATGTAATAAATAATGAATTAAATTCAGGACGGTTTGAGATGTGGATGAGAAAAGTCACGAAAACACGGTTTGTAATTGGCGAAACTCGTGTAGACGCGGCGGCGGCGGCTGATAAATAGCAACTCATATTTTAGTGTCACTCGCAAGCTCCAAGTCTATCATCATTATAGCTCGGATGATGTGCTTCTGGTGAATGCTTTTTATAGCTGCGCATCACGTCTCGGCGCGATAAATAAAGCTGAGCGCGATGATAGATACTCCTTCTTAAATGTTATTTTCTTGTCAGTAGAGCAGCCGACTTTTCTTCTCGCTGGATGGACCGCGCCGATATACATGTAATATTTTGGCTCAAATGAGTTTGCAAGAGCGAACACGTTCCTCGGCTCTTTGCATAGGGTGGATTCGCTGTCGATATTTCTCTCGGACAAGGCGCGATAATTATTGCCGGCGCGTAATTAGACTCGGTATTATATGCGTGTCTTGAATAAGTTTGCGCGCGATTTTCCGAGCGGCGCATACAATCCGAGTTAATGATCGTTTCATCAATTACGCGAGTGTTTCAGACCAAGGGTAGCACTGAAAACTATGATTATAAGCTCATTAGGGTCTGCGTGTATATTCAAAAAGAATATTATAATGAGAGCATAAAACTTTGTTGAATCGCAAGCACATGAAGACATACTTCTCCTCGGCTCATTTTGAGTGATGAATTATTCACCGCGAAAAACTATGATAGTAGTAAATTAAGATTAGTATTTAAACAGTCAAGCATTTAATAGTAAAATGAGCTTTCAAATAATATTTTAGGATACTGCCGGATAAAAATGATTTTTTTTTTAAGTTAAAAATAAAATCTTTAAATGACAAATAGTTTATTATTATTTATATTATTTCCCAACTAAATGAATTGAATGTTAATAAATAAGGTACATAAAAACATTTAAAACCCATTTTTTTCCTGCAAATATGCAAAATTTTATTGTACAAGTAGAAACTTATTTCAGGCTTTAAATTTTTTTATTAATAATATATAGCTACGATGAAAAGAAACTTTCCAGGGGCAAAAACTCGTCCTGAAGGAAGAGTCACGACTATAATTGAATTTTGGGTGGCCCGGTATTCTTGCACGATCGCGTGATTTGCTCGGCAAATAATCGAATTTCGCGCGTTGAGGACACAATACACCTTCACGCCAGATAATTAAATTTGCTAGAGCACGTGCACAAATGAGAAGTAATCCCGCTGGGGGGTAGACGGACTCAAAAGACACCCGAGACCTCTTCTCTTTGCCGCACACACTTTTCCATTTTTCTTCCACACATTGTCTCGGTACCTAATTATGATGCTATTGTTATCTCTCGTCAGCACACACAAATGCCTATGCATGTTGTTTAGTATTCACGCACGGTTAGACAATTTGGCGTCTTTCTCTTGATATGGAATGCATGAGCCTCATGTAGTTTGTTACTCTGTGCGCATTAGCATACCGTGAATTATTATTCAAAACTGCTTGCGTCTCTTTAGCCGAATCTTATCAGATGCAAACAAAAGTATGCGCGCAGAATGTTCGAGTTGTTTCGCTTGACAATCGGGTTCAAGGCGAAATTTTGCATAAAAATATGAGCTAGCGGTCAGTATTAATATTACTGTTTCTTTGTCCAAAGTGCTACAAAAATTTTGCAGGTAAAACCATTGTTGGGGGGTAGAAATTTAATTATTGGACAGAATAGATAGATTGGATAGAACAGGTTTGATATAACATGGATTTAGTAAAGATTCTAAATTAGGAGAAATGGTTTTAGAGTCAAATTTGGAAGTTACTGATAATTTTAATTGTCATATATACAAAAATCTGAATTTTTGTGCGACTTCTGAGAGGATACAAGAATTTAACTATCCATTTATTTGTAGGAGCTCAATATTTTCAATGCTAAATTTTAATTTTTTCTCAGTCATGGGAATTTTTGATAGCAAATTTTATAATTTACTGTTTCAGTTATGTTCCATTAAAAATCATATACATCTTTTAGAATTGCTGCTGTTTTTTTTAAATTTCCAATAATATCCTCAATATCCTATTTTTCTGAATAATGAAACAATTTATTTTTCAGAAAATTGAAATTTTTTCAACATTATGGTTAAAATTTTGTTTTCAAATGTATAAAAATTTCAAAATCTTTCAAAGTAAATTTTTTTAACCAAATAATTTAAATTATTTGCACTCTTCTCAAATTTTGAAGGTTTGGCCGTTGCCTTGTCACGCAAGCTGTCACCGTAGGCCACAAATAGCAAATTTTCTCATAACAATTGAGCAGTAAAGTGTGCTTAAAAAATATAATTACTTAATTGCACAAATCGCGTCTTTAAAGTTTAGGATAGAAGCGCTCCAAGAAAATGAGGAGCGTTTGTTTGTGCGTCTGACAGAACAAACCGCCCGCCGCAGCTCAGAGAGACGCTTTTGCGCGCTGATAATTGTTCCCTCGCTGCCAGCAAAACTTTTTGTCTGCTGGTTTATACTGCACGCGTCGAGGAGATAATGAGAGTGAGCGGCTAAACAGCTCCGACGGGATCTTGAAATTATAGGCCACCATTGAATTTGCTTTGTTTCAAAATAAGCACAAAGTAACATAAAATAAACATTAATTATTTAATATTAGAAATGAAGAGATCAGCTATCTAGGCTTTTTCCTTGTTACAAAAATTGTGTAAAAAATACAAAATAAAAAACAATTTTTGCAAAAAGGAAAAAGCCCAATCTCTTCATTTCTATGATCATCTCCTCGATTGTCAATTTCTTCAAACATATTGTAATATCGATAAAAGTTAAATTATGAAAACTTGGCAATTTTCAGTATATTTATCTCTCAACCATATTTGATTTTGGCTTAATCTATTTTGAAATGATTTTTTTTTTTATTATTAATTTTAAAGGGTCAGGCCAAGACAAAGTCTGGTCGGCCTGTGCCCTTTATTAATAGGTCAGAAGGCACCACCCAGTTTTCATTTATTATTATTTTTTTTGTGGTTTTAACTACATGCAATTTTTAAATCCATTGATTTTTCTTATTTATTTGCTCCGTTCGGCAGAAGATGGCTTCCATATGATGCCAAAATATTTATGCCCCATATTTTCCCTTGTTAAGTTAAAACTTTGCAAGTAGTTGGTAAAATTAACAATATATCTGCAACACATCAGAAAATGAAGTAAAATATCGTTGAAATATATCTATTTGTAGGAGGAGTGTGAAATTTTTTACCTACGAAAAAACACACGTATTACTTTTCAAGACGAAAATTTAGCGCCCGAAGTTCGGTTTGCTGGTTGAGTTATTTATTTTTGGGTGGAAAATGTCACCAGCAAGCAAAAAAGCGCCTTAAACACTCAACACGTTGTGAATATTCGCATCATAAGGCGGCGTCTCTCTCTCCAAGCAACCAAAATAATGTATGTACATCGAGATTTAAAGACCGCATGTCTGCTGTTTTCCTTATAGGAGAGAGAGAAGACGCGCAAAATGAATTGCCCAAGAGATCCCCTTGGAAAGGCTGCCTGCCGACGAACAGAGGACGAAAGGGCAATAAATTTGCAACACCCCGGCGTTGTAAACAAGAGTATGCAAATTATTATAGCTAGGCGCGCGAGTAGAATAGCAACGTACCCTCCTTGACATCATATCGACTAGTCAAATTTCATTATTTCGCGCACACACAAGCTCTCTCTCGTGATGGTTATTCGCATATAATGCAAGATTAATTAAACTCGGTGCGCGCCACTCGCAAAGTTTAGCTAATTAAGTAATTAATCGCCGCGCCGGTGCGACTGCAAATGTACTCTTCGAGTCGCGATTCACAAAGCAAGTTTGATGGCTTCAGATCAGCTTGGCCTGAGCTGCTGGCGTCACGATTGATTTTATGAATTTTATTGTACGCGCGCCTTTTCGGCAATGCCTCCAAAGTTGATTGAAAGCAAACTAATGTGGAATCTCAACGAATTTCACATTGATATGGACCCAGAATTGATGTGAATTTGAGTTTTTTACAAATTATTATTATTTTTGTTTAATTTTAAATATTTTACAAATAGCCAAAATACTGAACTTTCTTTAGCAAATATTCTGGTCTCCAAACAAGTATAATTATGCTTATTCAAATGAATATTTCAGTAGAACTTTACCTTTTTCAGAAAATTTAAAACGCTGCAATAATCTTATAAGTATTTAATTTTATTCCACACCCCATTGCAAGCCAACAATTTTACCAGGATTTTAATTTTAGGCTTTTTGGGTTGTACTGAATAAATCAATCCTCTTGGTTCTTTAAGATTTATTTTAAACGCGAAACATTGTCACAAACCGTATAAATTTTTGAGTCGGCGGCAGAGCGGATTCTTGGCAAGTGGCGCTGATGAATTCCAAACATGTCAATGATTCAATTTGTAGTCCAGCGCAGCAATGGGTGCGTTGCAGATAATAAAATGAACTGCGCGCCGTCATCCCTCGTTGGGACTTCTTTTTATATGGCGCCGAGGCACAACAAACAACAAGGACACACAACGAGACGCATACGAATTCTTGCTTTTAGTGCAAAGTCGATATTTTTTCCTTTGCAAACGCGGATTCATGCGCGCTTTGCTGCTTTTTCGGCCTTTGTCTCGGCACCATTTTCCCACATTCCAACTGCAAATTGACGCGCCCGCCCGCACATATACGCGCTCTCGGAAAATATTTCTCCCCGGCTCCGCTTTGATATACTGGAACGGGCCTGTTTTATATTAAATTCAAGTAGTAGTTGTTGTTGGGCCTTTGCTGAAGTTCGGAACGCGCGCGCCAACACCAAAAGATGTACGCGCTTGAAATGCACTGTTGAATGCCGCGTATAAAATCTCTTCGCGGTGTGGCGCGTCTGCTTTTGTGTGATCAAATAAAATAGGTCCCTTTGTTGCTGCAAAATCTCATTCTAACAGAAAATCCAATTTAGAAACCATTTTCAACTTTAATGTTTTGGTAGGTTTTGGTATTTTTAAAGTGCTGCATCAATGTTATAAATATTTGCAGAAGAAAGATTAGGATATCTTTTCAATAATTTACCACCACAACTGCATTATTTCTGCTTTATTTTTAACTACCTTAAATTTAAGAAAATTCTGAATAAATATTGAATCTTAATATTTTATATTACTTGATTCCTTTAAGAAATAATACCGTTCAACTTATCATTTGAATTCAATTTAAAATCAAAAGAAGAAAGTTTTACGTTTGGCCCCACGTGAAATATTGGAAGCTTCAATACTATAAAATAAAATTTCCCTTTAATATTTATTTTCTACTGCTGTTTTTAAATTAAAAAATTTCGCATAATATTTATTTAAATTTGAAACAATCCTCTAGTTGACAAATTTGTATTGATAAGTTAGAACTTTTCTCTTTGGTATAAAATAATTTCAGCCGTCTCGTATACCACAGATTTAAGTGTTCCTTTAAAATCTTATTAATGGCTCATTTTATGGATTTAGTTTTCCTTCCGCGTATACATATCCGCGTTTACGCTAGTTGTGCCAATTGGAAATCGGTGAGGAATGCGCGAGCGTCATATATGCCATTCATAGAGAGTGTAATAAATACGAGCCACTTTAATTGTTCTCGTAATTGCAACATAGCGTTATACTTGACAGAGTAATAACCAGCCGCCAGACGCATCGCTTTATGTTGGCTCTTGTCTTGGTGGCCGAATTTCATGCTCATAAATTTTATCAGCAGGAGCATGGGGAATGAAAATCCTCTTTGTCCCGTGCGCCTGACCCGTCACAAGGTCTTTCGCCTTATTGTATAATAGTTATTCCTATATTCCTTTATTATTATTGTGTTACGACCAACTGGAGCAACTCCCTTCGGCAGGAGTCGCTCCGTCACGCATATGGGTTTCTTCCACTTCCCGAAGTCGCTCCCTCCATTCAGATTTGCACCCTCTTGTGGGAACCTCACCCTGCGGCCTGTAAGGCCAAAGCAAGTTCCTCCAGCCGGAGCAATTCCCTCAGGTCGGAGCAACTTCTTTCAGCTGGAGTCAATAATAATCCCTCCAGACAGGGACCGGAGTCGCTCTCTTCAGCCGGAGCCATTTCATCTCGATTTAAATTTAATCAGCAGTGATTGAGATAAGAAAAATGATAATTTTAGTTTTACCAAATCAAGCACAATTTGGTTTTGGATGTTCTTATCATAGAGAACTCAACATGACCGTCATGATCATCTCTTTTCTTAACGTTTCAATTATATCGTTGATTGCTTCTAACAGTAATTATAATTTCGTAGAATTTTTGGAAATCCTTAATATTTTAGTCAGTTATCTTGCATGTTTGTGGGGTTCCGTTCCGTTTAGCGCGCGGCTATGCAAGTCACATGGTACTACAAATGGAGCCAAAAAGGGCCCACGTCTGGGGCTTTGGCGTCCCAGGATCGCAGGTCACACTGACCTTTGCCGACGTTGACACAAGCACAACAGTTGCAGGTAAATTATTTTTACTTGATGGGTCGTCACCACAACACATGAATTGAAATTTTTCGGGGCCAAAATAAAAATAAAATTTGAGCCTAGAAACTGAAATGTGGGAGCTTTGGATACCGCCCCAAGAGGCCGGTGGGCCGCACACATTACGTTTTAAGCACGCAGAGGAATCCGGAGGGCAGGTGACTCAGGTCAAATTGGGCGGAGTGCTCTTCGGAGACGTATGGTTTTGCTTTGGCGAGGGAAACATGGAGTTTTTCATGAGATCCGTAAGAAAATTAAAATAAATGTAATTGATTTAATAGAAAAGTTTGATTAATTTTTATGACTATGTGTATATTTATTTAACTAATAAATGAATTTATGGAATTTATATTCATGATATAATTATTTATTCACCAAGTTGGAAAATTATGAGGAGGAAGCTGCATTGGTTGGAAACTACTTTGGAATGCGATTTTTCCATGTTGGCCGAGCAGAAGCGGGCGAAGAGCAGCAGGAAATAGGACAGAACATTGAGCAATCCTGGACCACCATCAACAATGGTCCGCTTATAATTAAATATATATAACTGCATTATTTTAATTTTCCAAAGCAATTGCACAGGCACCATTGAGTGGATTTCGGCTGAGTGCGTCTTCTTTGGGCAAATGTTGTCAGACTTTTTGCCCGCGCGTCCAATCGGCCTCATCGAGTTCGCGTGGACGGCGACCAGTCTTCAGGCGTGGCTGCCGAAGAAGGTTATCCAGGAATGCCTGACACCCGAATCCGAGTGAGAAAAATAATAAAATTAATATTTGCACAGAGCATTGTGATTTTTTTTCAATTGTTTTTTCTGGAATTAAAGTGGCCCGCACCCTGAATCTGGAATCCACAACGGCGTTGTTCATCCTTTGAGCAAAATCAGCGCAAAGGGAATCATCTGGGATCACGGTAAAAAAAATTGTCACTTTTTTTTATTTATTTACTGTCCATTCATCACAAAAAACATTTTAAATTTTTTTAAATTAATTTCTCTAATTGCAAACTCTGACTTGTTGCGAGAAAATAAATGATATAAGAAATGATAATATTTTTTATTTTATTATAAATAAAAATAATTATTGATATCTCACAGAGGCAAATTAGAGATTGGATAAAATTTGATTTTTAAATATGATAGCTTATTACATTTTATTGCATGTTTTGTATTTTAATCCCCATTAACAAATTAACAAACAGAATATTCTGATAATAAAAATTTGATTTTGCAACATTTATGTAAAAAAAAGTATAAAAATAAGATTCTTTTTTTTAAATTTGTTTGAAAAAGTTGACACTCGAGATGATCATGGAAATAAAGAATCAGGCTTTTCCTCTTTGTTGTTTTTTTTAATGATATAAAAAAATTCACATGGATAGCAGCTTTTAAATTAGACTTTTTCATTTTGAAGGTGAGAGTGTGCAAAATTCACTCAACAAATCCGAATTCTTGTGCGCCACTCTGGGTCTCTTCAGCCACTGGCGCTCCACTTTCGCCGAAGCCGCACAGAACGACCTGGCAATCGGTGTTGTTCAGGTGAGTCAGGCACCCTTTGCAGCACGTATGTTGTACAGGTTGCATACATTCATTTTCATTTTACCAAACACGTTGCGTTCTTCCGCAGCTAGGTCCTGATGCAATCGTCGGAGTCTCGGAAGGTGAAGCGGCATCTGTACGGTTTTTTCAAAACGAACTTGCAAATGATCCTGAAAATAGCTTGTTCACCGCGTCCACCTTCGACCTGGTGGACAACACCACTGCGGAAGAAAGTGCAAACTGTTTTACGTAACTACAAATTTAATATCATTAATTTTTTGGACTTATATTATTTAATTAAACTTAAAAAATAATTTTTAATTCTGCAGCCTGTCGTCCTTAAAGATGATGTGCTAAATGACGAAAGAATTGACTCACTGTTCTATAATGCTAATTTCTATGCTAATTAAATTTTTTAAACATTTTTGATGTATTCTGAATGTGACGAGACTGACGAGAGCCCATATATATTTGAGAGACATGGTAGTTTCCATTATTTGATCTGTAATAGAAGAAACGAATATTCAAATTTCCATAAAAAAGTTGATTCAAAAGAAGCCTTTCCTGGCAACATTTTTTTTAGGGCCAGGCCTAGACAAAGTCTTGTTGGCCTGTGCCCCTTGTCAGTGGTACAGAAGGCGCCAATAAATTTGTATGCAATTTTTTTTTTCATTATTATTTATTCTTCTCGGTCAATACAAAATTTTAAATTGGAAAAAAGAGAAGAAAGGGTTTACAACTAGCAGATGTCTGCTAAAACGCCCGACATCAAAAGAGACACGGCCGCCGCGGTAAACCCACACTATCGGTAAAAAGGAACGATATCACAAACACTTTAGATTCAGATTCAGATTCAGATAATATTTATTCCGTATAGATCAACATATGTACAGAAATAATCTTTGGAATAGGTCACTGTAATACAGCTATATCTCAATATAACTATAATACAGCTTACTAAATTTAAAATACATTTAAAATACAGTTCACACAATTTTACACAAAAAATATTCATGCACGTCATAGAACATTTTGTCGTAGAATATTAATTCCAATTCCTTCTTAAACACTTGATAACTATCAATGTTTTTGATTCTATCGGGAAGATGATTGAAAATTCTAGGGATCATGATGTGAGGGGACTGCGCAGTCAGCAACAGTCTGTTTGGTTTGACAAATAAGTCTTGCTCCGCTATAGGTTTATTTCGAGTACTGCGATTCTGGTGCACCTTGCTTTCAGAATTTTTGAGGAACAATTCAGGATACTTTTTGTAAAATTTAACACATTCAAAGGCGTACACAGAGAAAGCTGGCAGGATCTGAAATTCTTCAAAAAGTGGTCGGCAAGACTCGACAGGTGTCAATGCCTTCCAGTATCTTTTACCTGCCATCGCACGGATAACTCTCTTTTGAGCAATGAAAACCTTTTCCAACATAGGCGACCCACCCCAAATTACAATTGAGTATAGTAAGTGACTTTGAACATGGGCGAAATATACATCTCTTAGCAATTTAGTTTGAATGCGCTGCCTTAATTTAACAAAAAGGTACGTGGTACTTCTCAGTTTCGCTACAACCTGATCGCATTGGGTGCTCCAGTTCATTGTATCAGAGAGCATTACACCAAGTATTTTTGCTTGATTTACCACTTCAATTTCAGCGTCGTTAATTCTGATTACAGGCGGTTCCAATTTACTAGTTTGAGCAGTATGCATTTGCAGCACCTGAGTTTTCTTTTCGTTCAATCTTAAGCGGTTATTACTGGCAAAATCTATCATTTTGTCATTAGCCACAGCAGTTTTTTCGTTCAAGGCTTTGTAGTTTCCAGCCTTTACAATAAAAGATGAATCATCTGCGAACAAGATAAGAGCGGCGACAATGATTTTTAAGGGCATATCATTACCGTAGGAGGAATAGCCAAAAGGGCCCAATACTGTTCCTTGTGGTACGCCAATCGAAACATTTTCCATTGTTGACTCAAATAATTTTTGCTCGCCATTTTCACCCACACCAAAAAGTTGAACAAGTTGTTTTCTATCAGTAAGAAAGGACTTTAACCAAAGGAGGGATACATCATCAATTCCAAATTTTTTCAGTTTTGCAAGCAGTATTTCGGGAACGACACACCCAAAGGCATTAGAAAAGTCATACAGAATCACATTGATTTTTTCTCTATTTTCCAACGAATCGTAGATTTCGGACACTAACTTAAAAAGTGCAGTCACTGTGCTCCTGCCTTTTCGAAAACCGTGCTGCTCGTCCGCAAGGAGATTGTTTTCAGCGAAATAGCTTTCAATTCTATTTAGGAAACATTTCTCAAATACTTTTGCTACAGAAGATGTTAAGGCTATTGGGCGATAACTACTAGCATCGGATTTCTCACCCTTCTTTTTGTACAATGGCTTGATTACAGTTAATTTTAGCACTTCCGGGAATTTACCAGTGCGAAACGACTCATTCACCATAAATGCCACAGGGAACACTATATAACCAGAAATCTTTTTCAACGTATCCATAGATAATCCATCCCAGCTAGATGATTTCTTTGACGGGAATAACTTCAAAATTTTTTCTATTTCAAATGGGGTAACGTCAGGCTGAGCAGTAAATTTTATTCCATTTGAAACAATACTCTCAGTACAGAGTTCAATTTCATCACTACTAAGATTTACCTGAGGTTCAACAAATTTTTTATTTAAAAAGTTGCAAATTTTCTGTAAATCCTTTTCCATTTCACCATCAATTTCAATTTGCTTAATATCATTTTCGTGTTTATCTTGGTTCAAGTTGCAAGTTTCGTTAATAATTTTCCAGGCCATACCAGTCTTATTAGAGGCTTTTAACATTTTCTGGTCATTGTGAGTTCGGACTGCATCATTTATGAGAAAGCCAACGTACTTTTGTTTACTTTTATATTTGAATTTAAGACTTCTTAATCTGTCACAGTTAGGATCATTCCTTTTCAGTGTAGATATTTGGGCACCCAAGAGCCTTAATTCTTCCTTTTGCTTACGAAGAAACTCAGAATCGGCATTATTTTTCCTATTTACTCTAATTAATATTTTCTCCTTTGGGAAACTCATTTCAAAGTACATAGTAAGCTTATCCATGAATTTACAGCACATATCATCAATATCATCACTTTCATAAACTTCGGTCCAACTTTCTGTACTTAAGAGGTGGAAAAATTCAGTCCAGTTACTGTCAGAGAATCTCCTGATAATTTTGTAATAATCTCTATCGAGTTCAATTGGAATTTGAAAATTAACAGACACCATTCTATGGTCGCTAAAAAATACATCACTGACAAAAGAAGTATGCGAGCACTTTAAGGAACTAAATACATGATCAATCAAAGTTGCTGATGTGTTTGTAACCCGGGTAGCTTCGATTCCATTTACCAGTGACATTTCATAGCCATCCATTAAGTTCAGTAATTTCATTTTATCAGCATTGTCTGAGTTAAGATCAACATTCAAATCACCAACTAGTAACATCTCTTTCTCTGGACTTATAAACTTCTCAATAAGATTTTCCAAATTTTCAATGAAGAACTCAATATCTCTGTTTTCAGGATTACTCGGTCGGTACACCGTCAAAAGCGTAATAATTCGATTTGCAACCTTCAATTCAACTCCACAAGTTTCGAATCTAAATTCAATAGAAGTTGGAAATAGTTTCTTGCAATTAAATTTGAGGCCTTTTTTGACTAAAATTAGCACTCCCCCTCTTTCTCTTATCTTACGGCCAAAGAAAGTAACAGTTTTATAATTAGTTATGCTAAAATGTTTGACTTCCTTAGAACAGAGCCAATGCTCATTTATTACAATGATTGAGGGCTTTTCGCGCAAATTAGTTATGTAATTTTCGAAATTCGCTAATTTTTCTGCAGATTTAACGCCTTGGATATTTAAAAGAGCGATTTTCAAATTTTCAACTTTACTTTGACCATTCTTTTTTACGCGACCTTGTGGAGAGACTTGCTGATTGCGTTTTTTGAGCTCTTTCTGTAATTAATCGTTACGGACTTGGAAGGCGATGGTGCTGCAATCTTCGGAGACGGTTTGGTTGAAGCGCGCAGCGTACTGGTGCGAGTAGCAGCTACCCTTCTGGAAAATAAATTTGATAAAATTTGATCCAAAGTTAGAAAAAATTAGAAAAAATTAGATCCAATATATGGTTAGAAATGCGATTTATGATGTTTCTGATAAATTATTTTTTCAAAGTTTTAAAATTTTTTTTGGTCCCAAAAAAATGTGCATGAAAAAATTAGAAAAAATTAGAAAAAATTTTAAAAAAATTCGAAAAAGTTTGATGTGAAAATTCGATAAAATTTAATGTTGAAATAAACATGGAATTTTTTATTTTTGATAATGAGTAATACAACCAACAGAGCCCGAACAAAAATTAACTGACGAAAAAGACACACGCACCGTAAAAATGTTTTGATTTTAAGTTGAATGAGTGTCCACCAGGCGTCGGTGGCTCAAAGTTTTGCTGCAGGCATGAGTGTTTGATGTATTCTGGGTTGATCGATGCGCACGTATTTTTATCATTTTTATACTGAAAAGTGTGCTTCAATAATAGGAATGTAAAGGTTCGCCACCGCCAACTCTTCTTTGAAATTATTAAAATTTGAAAAAATTTATCAAATTTTTACTAATTTTATCAAATTTTTTCTAATTTTATCAAATTTTTTCTAATTTTATGAAACTTTTTCTAATTTATCAAATTTTTTACATATCTTAAATTTGTGTCTAGAATTGTTGCTTCATTAAATTAAAATTTCATCCAATTTAATAAAATATTTTCATCGCTCGTCCGACTCTCTAGCAAATTTTGGTGCAGTCAGCTCGGAGAAGCTTACGGTCGGAAACTCCACCACTTGACCGCACCGATCTGGTTACTGCGTGCAGTGTAGGAAAACAAGTGACCGGACTTATCTAAGTGGCCAACTGTCCCTCCCTGAAGTTTGCTCAGACGTAATGACACCAGGTGAGACCTTATGCATGTATTTGCATTGCTTTAGTAATTGACGTTTACGTTTTACAATAGTTATTTAATATATCTTGTAATTTCATCAAATTTTTTTCGAGTTTTACCAAATTTGTTTAGAATTTCTTAAATATTTATAAAATTTTATCAAATTTTTTCTAATTTTATCAAATTTGTTACATATTAAATTTAATTTTTTTCTCATCTTCTTGAATTTGTGTCTCGAATTGTTAAAAAAAATTAAAAAAAATATTTAATAAAAAATTTGATAAAATTTGAAAAAATTTGATAAAATTTTATAAATATTTAAGAAATTCTAAACAAATTTGGTAAAACTTGAAAAAAATTTGATGAAATTACAAGATATATTAAATAACTATTGTAAAACGTAAACGTCAATTACTAAAGCAATGCAAATACATGCATAAGGTCTCACCTGGTGTCATTACGTCTGAGCAAACTTCAGGGAGGGACAGTTGGCCACTTAGATAAGTCCGGTCACTTGTTTTCCTACACTGCACGCAGTAACCAGATCGGTGCGGTCAAGTGGTGGAGTTTCCGACCGTAAGCTTCTCCGAGCTGACTGCACCAAAATTTGCTAGAGAGTCGGACGAGCGATGAAAATATTTTATTAAATTGGATGAAATTTTAATTTAATGAAGCAACAATTCTAGACACAAATTTAAGAAGATTAGATTAAAAAATTTAATTTTATATGTAAAAAATTTGATAAATTAGAAAAAGTTTCATAAAATTAGAAAAAATTTGATAAAATTAGTAAAAATTTGATAAATTTTTTCAAATTTTAATAATTTCAAAGAAGAGTTGGCGGTGGCGAACCTTTACATTCCTATTATTGAAGCACAATTTTCAGTATAAAAATGATAAAAATACGTGCGCATCGATCAACCCAGAATACATCAAACACTCATGCCCGCAGCAAAACTTTGAGCCACCGACGCCTGGTGGACACTCATTCAACTTAAAATCCAAACATTTTTACGGTACGTGTGTCTTTTTCGTCAGTTAATTTTTGTTCGGGCTCTGTTGGTTGTATTACTCATTATCAAAAATAAAAAATTCCATGTTTATTTCAACATTAAATTTTATCGAATTTTCACATCAAACTTTTTCGAATTTTTTTAAAATTTTTTCTAATTTTTTCATGCACATTTTTTTGGGACCAAAAAAAATTTTAAAACTTTGAAAAAATAATTTATCAGAAACATCATGAATCGCATTTCTAACCATATATTGGATCTAATTTTTTCTAATTTTTTCTAACTTTGGATCAAATTTTATCAAATTTATTTTCCAGAAGGGTACTTTCTGCAGTGAACGTTTCCTGCCCTCAGGATGTGACTCACGTAATTGTTCAGTCAACGCATCGATGCTGCGTCTCACTCCGGCCATCTGGTCATTCATGAAACTTGTCAGGTCGACTGTTTCTGGTGCCTCTGGGGCCGCAATTAAGACTGGGTGCTCGGGCGAAGAAGAAATTAGGACCTCCTTTGCAAGACTTCTCTCAGTTCCACTCACCATAACAGTGGAAGGTTGTCGGGGGGGATTTTGAGATAAAACAGGTAGGGGCAGCGGGGGTAGGCTACCCCCACCGACAGAGCCTTCCCGAAGCAATGCGCTTTCACGCTCGAGGTTAGCAAAGAATGCAGTCAGTTTACGGTCATGAGCGTCCCTCCATCCAGTCCCTCTCGTCTGTGACACAGCCCCACCAGGTAGCTTATTGGGCTCCAGACTGCAAGTGCGTACCTCATCAGGATTGGTAGTCTGATTTAAATTTTTATCACCTTTATTAGCTGGCGATGAGGTGGGGCTAGGCGCACGGGAGGGCACCCCAGCTTTTTTACAGGTCTCCGGTGTGCACCTAGCTTGTCCACCTGTTCCTGCTGTGACTTTGGCAGATTCTGATGGGGCACTGCCTTGCCCGGGGAAAGCTGCTTAAAATCTTAACTCTTGAATTACTGCCACAAATGCTCCTTGCAGAGGGAGGGAAAATTGCTAGAGGGACAGTTTTTTTGGGCTTATCTGTATTATTTCTTTTTTTATTGAAATCAAGCATCATTTGCAGGCCAATCTGATTATTTACTGTCAAAATTATTTTTACCACCCATAGAAAAAGCCGAAAATATGAAATCAACAATTTATCAAGCAACCTATAGCTTAAATTAAAATTTGTTATTTTGCTTAAAAATTTGATGAAAACTTTATACCATTGAATATAAAAACATCAAGATTTTTTTGGGGGAAAACCAAGAATTTTTATGAAAAAATTTAAAAAATGATTTCAGTGCCCTCTTCAACTCAAAACGCATTGTGACTGAAAGACTCTTCCGATCAGCAAAGGAAGTCGTCTTTTCCACAGAAAACACCACAACTTTAAAAGTATTTTTTGAACTCTATTATTTTGTCACATGTATATAACAAGAGATTATTTATAAATTTTCATCTCTTCTAAAAATTAATTTTGAAAAAAAAATATTTCCACAGTTTGAATTATCAAAAACTGATTCAGCTCAAATAGAAGTTCAGTTCTCTGAAGACATCATTTTGAACGGGTCCCATGGATTTTCGGTGGTTTAATTTTTTTTCATTAAAATTTTTGTACAAATAAATTAATTTTTAGTATTCCACGTGTGCCAAATGTAAAAATTGGACGGCAGCGGCAGTGGTCGGAGTATCTGGCCGACGCTTGCAGTTGGAGGCACCACCGTTGGGGGCGACGGTGCTCGGCTACGCGGTTCACCGAACCCCCTGCCTGCGACTACAGTGCGCGGTTTACGACTCGCAAAGACTTCCACTGCAACCAAAAGTGCTGCCGCTCCCGTCGGGAGCATCAGTGCTTCAGTTGACTGCTTCATTGATTGCAATTGTAATCCACAGAGCTTTCATTGCTTATTTTTTAAACATAATAATATAAAATGAAAAATTAATTTAACAGTAAAAAATTTAAATGTAAAAACTAAGCGTTTTATGTGCAGGCAAACTTAATATTGGGCCAGGGTTGGTAAAAACAATTTCTTATACACATATAAGTATATTAAATTGGAGTTTATTAAGAAGGAAAATGTCGTAGGTCACAGGTCAAGGTCACTAAAATGCATTTAGAGTTTTTAAGGTCCGTTTTCCGGAAAAATTATATTTTTCATATTTATGTGTAAAATGCAAAAAACGTAGGCCGTTAAATTCTACATCTGGTCAGCAAAATTCGCGATGGCGTTATTTTAGTTTTTAAGATATTTTTATTTAAAATTAAAAAGATGCGTTTTGCCGATATGCCGTGTATCTATTTTGATATTTTTTTTTTTTAATTTCTTACTTAGAGGACTGGAGCAATGCGATTTTCACTGCTAGATGCAATTTTAAATTCTGAACAACTTTTCTGTTGGATAAAAATACCTAGGTAAAAGGTTAAGGTCAGTAAAATGCATTTTTATTTTTCAAGGCCATTTTTCTCAAAGAAGCATACCTCACATTTTTTCCGTGGTATAGGAAAAAATGTAGCCCATTATATTCTACATCTGGTAGGAAAAATTCAGAATGGCGTTATTTTTAGTTAAAGATAATTTAATAAGTTTTACTTATTTCATAATTAAAAAACGGGCGGAAAAACGAATGGCGTGGGCAGAATCAAGATCCAATCAGCCGTTTCGGAGATATTGGCGTCTGAAAAGCGAGTTCTTGGTACTTCCTCCTTTGAATTTACCCGTCGCTGCAACAATCGAAAATAAGAGACTGTTGAGTGCGGATTTGGCTGATCCCGACTTAGGTCGCGTTAGGTCGCCAAAAGTAAATGAAAGTGAATAAAATTTTGGAAAATAAAAGTTAAAGATTTGCTTGACACGGCCCTTTAGTTGAAATATCTTATTTTCCGCGGACACTTGGGAGATATAAAAGGGTTTGCTGAGAGAGGTGCCATTTGAAAAGTGATTTTTTTACAAACAAAAATGAAAAAAACTAATCGGAAAGTTGTGGCCAAAAACATATTCTTTCTTTATTGCATCGTAAAAATTTACGTTAAACTTTTTTTATTCCTGAACTCTGAAAAAAAAATTAATTTAAAATTTAGATTATTATACAAGTAAAACATTTTTAAGATTTATATGAGATAGTCAATCGATTCAGCATGTATTCACACGACTTGTCCAAGTATTTTGAGCATAATTTAATAACGGCTGAGATTTTTCTGATACAAATTCAGTCACAGAGCTTAAAATTAACAATTTTGAAGAAAATTAATTGCCATAATTTTTTAGCATGGGATGATCCTTATTTTTTGTATTATTTCAAGCACAATTTGAGTTTTCAAACCTGACAAAAAGACATTCGCCGTAGAATGATTTAGATTTAAGGATTTTAAAGGCTGATTTTAGATCTTAAAATTAACAATTTTGAAACAATAATTCCATATTTTGAAAAAATTTAATCAAGTGCCACAATTGTTGAAAATGGGATTGATCGTTTTTTCTATTTATTTATTCTCCATTCAAATACAATGAAATACACAACATCTTATAATTTTTTTTCCAAACTGGCCTCCTCTCTTTTCCTCTCAAGTTCTTGCTTTTGATGATCTTGCAGCTCCTCCAGTTTCTTTTCGTTTTCCAAAAAAAAAATTTCACTCATAAGGCGATGGTGATTTTTGCCCTCGACAGGGATCAATAGCTGCTCTCGTTCATGTGTCCTATTGAATTTAAAATTTTACATTAATTTTAGATTTTATTTTCAAAACAGTTACTTTTTGGCAGGTATGTTTTGTAGGATGTGGTGGGCCTTGTAAAGGCAGTCTCCACTTTCCTTAAAACCTTTTATAATGTCCCTCAAGTTATGCCTCCTAAAATGGTTTCCGAGGACGATCAAGGCACAGGTATTATAGATCTCATCATACGGCCACGATTCCTGCCCAAAGTGATCTTTCGGGTTCGGGAATTCTTTCAAAAAAGTTTCACAAGTGAAACAGTCAACTCTATTCAAATTGTTTGCCCTGCTTGGTAAATCAATATTTTTAGCAATGGCGTCATTGATGAATTGAATGAACTCATGTTCATCAAGGGCTGCTTTCGTAGACAAGAATATTGGGTCCGTTTTTGGAAAGATCGACACCAAAGCGGCTAGTTTGGAAGCGCGCTTGTCATCCTCTGCAGTGGCGCTAGGCAAAACAGCAAGTCTGGCTGTTGTAGATGGTGGGCTCTCGTCAACCTGTGGTAAATTTTTTATATAATTATAACTGGTGAAAAATTTCATATCCCTAGCTCTGTATCAATCTCAATCAATGGTCGAAACAATCAAAAGATAATGTTGAGAGAGCCAGTTGATCTGCTGATCACTTTTTTAGGTATAAAAAAATCTCGTTATGTTCAACCCACGCTCATAACAACAAGAAATTGAGGATAAAGATTAAGATATAAAATTAAATTATGAAAAAGTTTTAACGACTCCTTATTGCCGTAGTCAATCAAGTCTATACGACAATGGTTAAAATTTCTCACTGTTTCAAATAATATAACATGATTACATCGTTGTGAGGCCTCATACGTCAATAAAGATCAATAATAATAATAATAATTCTAATTGTTGTAAAGAATACGGAGGCCTTAAGTACAATTGACAGGCTCCTCTACTTATATGTATTCATTAAGGACTTCTAATTGACTAAGTCAAATAAGTTTTTACAACAATATATAGTGGTCAAAATCTGTCATGGTTTTCCCATAATTGATAAATGGCTCTTATTGTAGTAGACTGGATTTGACTTTGTCACTATGGAGGCCTGAAGTCTTTGTAATATACATCAAGAACTGGCAACACCAAAAATCATTTAAAAATGGTAAATTATGATCATTTTTGATTGAAAAAGTTGACACTTGAGGAGATGATCATGGAAATGAAGCGATCGGGCTTTTCCTCATTGCAGAAAATGGTTTTTATTCAAAAACAAATGGCTCTTGTATTAGTCAGCGAGCAGCGCGTTTGCTCATGAAATAGGGTCGCAGACTGTGACCGAAACTGGTAGAGCCATTTGTTTTTGAATAAAAACAATTTTCTGCAACGAGGAAAAGCCCGATCGCTTCATTTCTATGATCATTTTGTGTGCAATTTTACTAAATATCTTCAAATTTCCACAAGATTTTTAAGGTGCAAATCTTTCATAATAACAGTTCACTAAATGGTCATAAAAGATAAACTTGCCATTCTTATTTCATCAGCGGCCATTTGGCGCACAAGCAATGACTTGTCTTCAGCCCACTTGCTCGTGGTGGCAATGATGACACAGGCCTCGGCCGCCAGAAGACGAACTGAATCCTAAAAATTCAACAAAGTTTTTAAAAGATCCACTTCTCCTTTAGTTTTATCTAGCCTGTTCATCCTGGGAAAGGATCTCAAACATGGGGATGACTTCGTACTTGAGGTACTTGAGCTCGACTACTTTGGCGAGTGTGCCCAAATTAGTGGCAGCGGCGCAACGAACCATGGGGGAGTCATCATCACACATTTTGCTGAAGGTGAAACGCAAATCGTCTGTAATAATTTGTTAGGATTATTATGGCAGCATTGAATCATTAAAGGGAGTGGCTAAAAATTTTGAAATACAAAACGGTCTTGAAAGACTTGACGGAGTAACTATGATCTATGATAAAAATTATGGATGTTCGAGATCAAGAAAATTGTATATAGTGACGGAAAATATAAATGCTTTTTATTAAGGGTGTTTCTACGATAATGCGGCGCAGAAGAATTGTAAATATTTTTATTTTTTCTGAAAATATTATTATCGCGCCACACAAAGTCGGTGATTTTAGGCCGGTTTTCTGAATAGTTAATTAAATACCGGTATGTAAAATATTTTTGAAAAATGCTTATAATTTTGAACTGAGGAGTGGTATTATTATAAATATCGTATTTTTCCATCATAAACTAATGCACAAACCTAAATTTATACAATATACATGTTTTTCGTCGCAAAAAGTCCAAATTTTGGTGAAATTAGAACTTGCATACCGGTTTTTATTACACAATAACCGGTATATCTCAATATCTGTCAGAAGAAACCGAAATTTTTTCGTACCAACGTGAAGTTAGCCACTATAGCTTTCGAATGAGACCATAAAAACGATATGTTTCTTGCCTTTTTAAATTTTGGCTGATGGATATAAAACGGTTTTGTTCGTTTTCCTGCTTCCGAGATAGGGCTATTTTTGAAAATCGGCTGTAACTTTTTTTTGGGCAGATGAAATTTTCTGAAAATTTAGACACGTATTAAGGATGTGATAACGAATCGGCCAATGTGCCATATGACCACACTTTCTTGGCTTTCCCGCATTTTCCAACCCTATTTGACCCTTTTTGGGAAATTTTGGATTTTCTCAAAAATGGAAAATGCAAAAATAATTTCCTTTGGGGAAGTTTGTGCCTATGAGTGACGTCAAATTTTGGCTATCTCAGATTTAATTTTCCGGTTGCATACCTTCAGGAGCAGGCATTGAAGTATTTTTACCCTGATTTCAGGGTACTTAACCCTTTCATAGAAAATAATTGTTCATGTAAAAAATATTGGAAATTTTATCAGCATTCAGAATATATGCTCGTTTTTAACGTAGGACTTATACTTAATGAGATACAAGCGGAAAAGCAAACCCCTTTATAACTCAGCCATTTTCCAGAAAAGTCGGAAAAATTTTTCATAAAAGCTCTTATAATGGGCAAATAAAAGAGAAAAATTTGTTGGAAATATTTTGCAGTCATTTTTTCAAAATATTTGCAAATTCAGTGGGCGTACCCTACGATGATCGCCGAAACAGCCTTAATTAACATAAAAAAATATAAATTAAATTTTAATGGAATTTTTTCTGTATATATTTTCTCATCCAAGCTTGGCCTCATTCCATTCATGGAACTACCTTTAAATTTTTCCAAAACCAATCAGATATACACAACTCTTTAGTAATTTCTCTTAATTTACACTTTTAAGATTTGCATTTAAAAAACAGATTTAAAAAAAATTACATGCTATCTGATAGCACTCTTTAATTAAGTTTCTATTTTACTGCAACCAAGATGTTGCCCACTACCCACTGTCGGCGCTTTTAGACTAAGGTCAAGTGTTCTTTCTACCTTTCACATTGGCAGAGACTCTTGGGTAGCAGATACTGAGGAGACCACAAGCTGAACTGCGAGCCGTGAAGCAGTCACCATCAGCAAGACGCAGAACCAGTGGAACAAAGTGGTTCTCAAGGTCTGATGGGCTTTGCAGGGCACAGATTTGCTGCAGGGACTCCACTGCCCTCTCTCGAACCGCAGCCTCCTGCACCGTGGCCAAGGACTCCAGTGGTGGCTGAAGAAAAATATTTAATTAATAGAAAGGTCAATAAAATACCCAGTAAATCAATAATAATATGAGATAGGACCGAATTTATTATAAATAAATTCCATTCAAAAACCCCAAACATCTCTTTATAAATCATGTCTGGATAATTTTTAAAATGGCTTCTTGAGAGCTACACTATGAAGTTTGATTTTAACTAAATTTTGTTCTCATTTTCATAGTGCTCGTTCATGCCAAAATTTATTTTTACATCCATCAATTATGAATTTTAGCTCATACCAGTAGACAGTGGACATATTCAGATCCGCCGCAGAGTGGAGTGAAGTTTCCAAGCTGCTCAGCCAACGCAAGCAAGACTACTTCGTCAGTGTCATTTCTACGGATGGTCTCCGTTAGGAAAGGAATTAGCTCGTTGCGAGTGCGCTCGACGCCCAGCGTTACAGCAATCGGGGACAGATTCTTCATGGAGTTGAGACGTATCTGAAATTAATTAAAACGGTGTCATAGTCGCAGTGCAATCAAAAAACGAATACAATAAGGCGGCATGGTTTTTTTTCAACAATATTAAATGTAAAATGTGAACAAATGTGATGTGTAACAATTTGTACACATTAACAATACCTAATTTACCTAATTTTGAGCTATTAATTAGCGGAGTAAATGCAAAAAAAAAATAAACAGGAACTATAGTTGATGTAAGACTGCACATTGCAATTCCACAGTCGTTACCATCTCAAACTTATGTATTCAGGGAAAGCATGCATTTTGGGGGGGCCAGAATTGCAAGTCCGCAGGTGGGCCGAGTTGAGCCCAATTTTTTGCCCGTTGGCAAGAAATGGTTGACAGGGTTAATTACCTCCATGTCCTCGTTCTTCAGGTCGTCCATGGGGCCCGGAATCGGGTAGAGAGAATCGTCCGCCGGATCACTCGTTGCCATTTCGAATCTTTGAATTGTCGTCACACGTTTCTCTGCACAATTCGGTTAAAGGTGAGACTAGCGAGGAAGCGAGGCGATTTTAGCCACGTCAGTGTGGGTAGAAGTCGAAGAGAATGAATTTAAGAAAAATTAAAGCACACCAACGCGACACCAACGAAAGTTTCACCTTTCACCTCAAACAAAACAAAACGATGCAAATTGCAGTTTGCCAAAGATGCCGCATGAGGAGATGCAGTCGCTTATCTTTCTCTGATTGGTCACCGCTCGAGATTTTCTCAGTTTTGGCGCTAAAAGCAAGATAACGTTGTTTTTGCACTATGCGCTGATATGAACTGCTATGAACAGTATATTTAAGTTATGAACCGAAAATTCTCAATGCGGCGCTGTCCATGCGGAAAGTGAAATGTTGATTTTCAGCTAAATCATGATCGACATTAGAATAGAAGTGCATAATATTTTGGATAACCATAAAAAGATCCGCGCTTAAGGGAGTGCGAGAGACTTGAAACGTGCTTCAGTAACAACCATAATGACATTTTATTATTATTATTAGGACCGTTCACGAATGATTTAAAATTAATCAGATTGGACAGATTTTTTTTTTGTTACGAGGACCGTTCTGATTTTTAGATATGTTGTTAGGGTTGATGAAAAACTAATTTGACCAAATTTTGAGACCAAAATTTTCGAAAATTTTTATTACTTTTTGAATTATTCGGGTTTTTTGAAAAGCTCAAAAATGCTTATATCTTTGCTCCTATTATCTTTAGAGAAATTTGGTTTGCACTAGAGTAGGTAACTTTTAATTTTGAACAACTTTGCTGTTGACTTAATATCCCTAGGTCAAAGGTCAAGGTCATTAAAATGCATTTTTAGTTTTTGAGGCCATTTTTCTCAAAGAAGCGTATTTTAGATATTTCTTTAGCAAACGCAAAAAATGTAGCCCGTGAAATTCTACATTTGGTCCAAATTATTTGCGATGGCGCATATCTTAGTTTTTTAGTTATTTCAATTTAAAATTAAAAAAGATTCGTTTTTCCGAAATGCCGTATTTCGACATTTTTCTGTTATTTAATTTCTAAGCAGCCTAGAGCAATGCGGTTTTCACTGCCGGACCTATTTTTTAATTTTGAACAACTTTTCCTTTTACAAAAAATACCTAGGTCAAAGGTCAAGGTCAGTAAAATGCATTTTTAGTTTTCAAGGTCAATTTTCTCAAAGAAGCGTAACTCAGATATTTTCCGCGATTTAGAAAAAAATGTTGCCCATGAAATTCTACATCTGGTAGGTAAAATTCAGAATGGAATTATCTTTACTTTTGAAGATATTTTATTAAATATTTAAAAAGTTCGTTTCTGTAAATAATTTTCTGACCCTTTTTGCCTGTTTTTTTAAATTCTTACAAACCATTATTTCAATTTTTGATATCCTCTGAAAAGATCCAGCTATTTTATTAAAATCCGTTGAAATATTAAAATTAAAATAATTATTATCAGCGATGATAGATAATTAAATCTTTGAGCTTTTGTCGTTGGGGTTGATTACAAATCTCAAATCTCGGCAGTAAACCTTTTTCTAAAAAAAAAAAATCAATTCCACATTTTTCTATCAATGCTCTGCTAGGGCCGAACTGAAATGACGGGCAACCAGGCGGCCGTTGGCGTTGAGCGGGTTGCAAACTTTCAACGCTCGCAGGCGTCTTGTGAATTGAAAGTGTCCGAGATGCGATTTGGGAAAGTAATTATTGACAAATTTCTCTTCTATATTAAATATAAAATAAATAAATAGTTTGCATTATTGAAGTAATCGTTTAAAAAGTCGAGATGCCTTGGCACTCTTTGAAGGGGGTCAGTTAGGCGACGCTACTTTGCCTCGACCTGAATGAAAACAAGAAAATTGATGTCATAAAAGCTGAAAATTCTTTAGAATTTACAAAATTGTAGTGAAAAAATTAAAAACGAAAATTAGTATTGATATTAAATTCAATAGATACTTGTCTAACTAAAAAGTCAAATATTATATGAAAGCTACAATATTAAGATCTACTTATTAATTCATATCGTAGTAAACATTTTGGTGCTTTGATCAACTTGATTATGAATAATAATTTCAGAAATATATATTAATTTGATTAAATTCGTAAATAATATATAATCGGAAAAATGCTCTGGTATAAATAGTAACTGTAAACACATAAAACATTTAAATAAAACAAGTATTTTTTGTTACATCTTGTGAAATGTAAAAAACCTGTTAAATTATTGCTTCTTAACTTCTTAACAATTTTATTACTTTTATATGGTATTTGTTTCAATCAATCTTGAAGAAATAACTCTTTCACACCACAAAAGATTTCATCACTCCAATTTGCAACTTCCGCAACGCACCAATTATCGATTAACTCCACATTGATATGATAATGGTGATTTTGTCTCACCAGGCTCCGGCCAGAAGAAGATGACGGCGGTGGCCGCGGCGGCGAAGATGAGGGCCGTCCGAGACACTCAGCGGCCTTCGGAGGCCACCAGCAAGTGCTTTTGCTCCATCGGCAGACTAGTCTCCTATCAAAAGCGGCAAATTCACCTCGAATTTTACAATGCGTCGCATTGAATGCGAAATCTGCCGACTGTGGGTTATTTTAATCATGATAGTTCAAAACTGCTTACAATAAGTGTCGGAAAAATAATGTTTCTTTTTATAAATGTGATGATTTTAATAATTTCAATCACCTAGCCGTCGCACCCTTTTGACAAATTTTGTTTTTATGAATAAGTAGAAGAAGAAAATTGTTACCAAAACCATGCTTTGTAATTGCTGGGTGCTGTCAATTTGCAAGCAACAACCTTAATGAACAATTTACAATATTGGTGCTGCTGGGGAGGAGATAAATTTCCATTTATGGCGCATTAAAAATTTATTTTAATTTTTTGTTATTTTTTTTTTTATAGGGTCAGGCCAAGACAAAGTCTTGTCGGCCTGTGCCCTTTTTTGGTGGTACAGAAGGCACCACCCAATTAATTTTTTTTATTATTATTTTTTTTATGATATCACTAAAATCAATTTTAAAAGAAATCTGACTGATGTGCTTTTCATGTTTTAATTTAACATAAAAAAAAAATATTTCACCATGAGTGGGAAAAGTGACAATAAAATTAAAATAATTATAGTGTTCTCTCTATATTTCGTAAAATTTTCAACAATTTGTATGTAAACAATGTGATGTAACAATTTGGACAAATAAACAACAATAATAATAATGTGCTGCAGACTCTCTTGTTTCGCGCTAGAACTAAAAGTATTCTTCGTCCTCTTCCTGGAAAACGATGTTGGTGCTCTTCTCAACTGAGCCGTAGTCGTTGGCCGTTGGTGAGAGGCGCCTTATCCTGAGGGTGGTACCTCCTCCAGGCCTTTGTCCAACACTGCCGACGCCCATAGCTCGGCAGGTTCGCCTAGCCTCCTGCAAGAGCCTGTAGTCGGCCTCCGCGCCTCTCTGCACGTTGGTGCACAGCACCTCCAGCTCAAGGAAATCCAGGCACACGACTCGACGAGGCACTGCGACAGTGCACTTTTGGGACGGCTTCACATCCAGGCAACGGAGAGCACATGGTGTAAGCTGGGCAGCGTATCCCTCTATCGAGTCGGTGGGCACGGCAATCATCAAGAGCACTTTGCCCTGGCGGGCCACCTCGACGTAAAAAGTCCGCCTCCGAGCTCCCCGTCTCGGTGGGTACAATTCATGGACGGCATCAACGGACATGAAGATGGCAACTGTGAAGTTAAACGATATATTAATTTAAATTTTTATTTTATTCACAATGAATATGTTAATTTTAATTTTCTCCGAACACTCAATGATTAAGCAATAATATATGATAACTTGTAAAATTCGGATTATTTTTATTTGCTAATATCAAGCCAATGTTGGCCATACTAATTTACATTCGAACAACAAATTAATTTTTCCATCCAACCAAATGTCATTCCAATCAAACTCAATTAGTCAAACCAAATAAATAAAATTTATTTTTTATATAAATGTGATATTAATTTTTGTAAATATTTTTCACTTCGGATTAAACAACACAAAAACATCCGACTCGTTTTTCTTCACTCGATCAACCCTTTTCTGTGGCCCTGAAGCCACAGAAAATATGCGGACGATTCGTCGTCCCTTGTTTTTGCTCGGACGACTTATTCTCTAATGCAGGAGGCGCAGTTGGCGGCTAATTTAATGTCGGGTTTTTGCCGTGACAATTTTTTGACGCTAAATCAGACCAAGACGGTGGTGCTTAATTTTCAACTTAGGCACCCTGTGCTAGATCGTGATAATTTTAATTTGACTTTAAATGGCGACAATTTGACTGAATCAGATGTGACAAAAATTTTGGGCTTGTACCTTGCACATAATTTGAAGTGGACTGAGTATTCAGATTATGTGGTTGGGAAATTAAATAGTGCGGTTTTTTTGATTAACAATTTGATGCATTCTGTTGACGAAAAGTACTTGAAAATGGTATATTTTGCTTATTTTACTGTCATTCAATTATGAGTTATGGCATAGTAATTTGGGGAGGGTTGAATCAAGCGCTGGACGAGGTTTTCCTGGCGCAGAAAAAAGTGGTGAGAGCTCTTGCGGGTGAGCGCTATTGGCGCAGTACGGAGCCGCTTTGTTCTGCGCGGCCGCTTTTCGCTAGATTCGGCGAGTTGATGCAGATTGCTCTGCATCTCCCGAATCCCACTGGATTTCGACTGGCGAGTGTCCGGCTCACACACAACTTTATGACCTATCAATGCAAACAAATTGCAAGGCTCGAACACACGCCAGCCGAGTTCAGAGTGATCAGAATGCAAGCACACTAACCACTCTGCCACTTGAGTGCAGTCTTACCTTGCTCTTTGCAGGAGTGGGGTGTGGACGGTTTTCTTTCGGACACGTAAACTTCCATTGCGGCTCGGACGAGGAACTAAAGATTTGATTCGAGACGTTTCAAATTTCAAATGAATTTAACCGTTGAATTTCTGAAGTGAACAATGGAAGTTAATCAACAATCGGAATTGTGTCAAACATTGTGCAAACCCAACAATTATATTTGCTTATCCGCGCGGCAGTATTGAGGAGAAATTTAAATAAAAAAAAGCCGTGCGCATGGAAGAATTCAATCAATAAAGGATTTCAGTTTGTAATTTGGATTTATTTTGTGTTACTTCTTAATTAAAAAACGGGCGGAAAAACGAATGGCGTGGTCAGAATCAAGACCCAATCAGCCGTTTTGGAGATATTGGCGTCTGAAAAGCGAGTTCTTGGTACTTCCTCCTTTGAATTTACCCGTCGCTGCAACAATCGAAAATAAGACACTGTTGAGTGCGGATTTGGCTGATCCCGATTTAGGTCGCGTTAGGTTGCCCAAAGTAAATGAAAGTGAATAAATAATTTAGGAAAATAAAAGTTAAAGATTTGCTTGACACGGTCCTTTAGTTGAAATATCTTATTTTCCGCGGACACTTGGGAGATATAAAAGGGTTTGCTGAGAGAGGTGCCATTTGAAAAGTGATTTTTTTGCAAACAAAAATGCAAATAAAAACTAATTGGAAAGTTGTGGCCAAATACATGTTCTTTCTTTATTGCATAATAGGAAAAATTTACGTTAAACTTTTTTTATTCCTGAAAACTGAAAAAATAAAAAAAATTTAAATTTTAGATTTAGATCAAGTGCTGGCCTTGAATTTCAAAATGTGTCGCATAGGAATAAGAGTTAAAGAAATTCAAACATTTCCTCCTCAGTTTGGCACATTTTTTTTTTTTTTGCATGGAAAATGATTTTTTTTTTTAAGTCGGCATTTTGTCCGCGGAAAAAGTAATGTGTCGGTTTTTGAGCGTTACGTCTTTTTATTTTTACTTTCAAATGATGTGTGTTTGACTACAAAAACTGCTTGATTTCTTAAGATCCCTTCTTTTTATTTAATGACACGCCAGAGGAAATTAGTGACAGAAGACGGCTCTATGAAGTTGCGCAATACGTGAAGTTCTCTCTTACGTTTGCTCGCGTTCGGCCACGGGAGTCGAACCGCAAAAATCGCGTGCCATTTATTACTTGCCCATTGTGCGTTGCGCGACAATGAGGGAAAGTGACAAAAATCTCGCTGCGGTTCACAAAGAGACACACGTCGCTATACGAGCAAACCTGAACTCTTCTCCTACGTGAGTGCGTCTCCACAATGAAACAATCTCGTCAGCCGCTACAATAAATAATATTACAGCGTAGCTTCCGCTTCTATAAGACGTTCTTCCTTCATGTTGTTGATGTGTTTGATATAGTTTCAACTTGATATCGTGATAAAATAATACAACTAAAACAAGCTATCAATATTTTAAATATATATATATTTTTTTTTTTATTACTTCACAATTTCAGATAGCTTAGATTGCTGATTTTTTTTAATAAATAAATAATTAATTAATGAAAAATAAATTATTTTTAGGGTGATGAGCTTTTAAAATATTTTTTATGAACATTTTTGCCCTACAGAAAGTTTCCAAAGTTTTATGTTTCATGTCAGACATTCACGAAAATAAAATGTCCTAACATAAACAATCCTTTCTAAAAATTGGGCCAGAATTGGGCATTATAAGATTCTTTATTTTAGGACCAATCTTTTTGGACATTTTCTAAATACTCACATTAGGACATTATGATGGTATCCAATTTTTGAGCCTTATTTCGGGTAGAACTTTTACATCGATCAGTCTACAAAAATTATTAGAAAAATAGAATTTTATCAATAAAAATTAAAAATTGGCCTAAGTTTCCCCCAAATACAAATTTTTTATAAATATAAATTAGCCATTTTTTTTTGCTGTAATACGTAAATTTGTTTCAGGGTCGCTGCCCTTCGCCCTTCCCCATTTTAAGTTTCGATATTGCTCAAAATTTTGACGTGTAAGTGCTTTTTCGTGAGGAGGAGATGCGCGCCTGTACCACTCTCCTGTCGCTTCCGAGTAGGGGCTTGAGAGGCTTCATAAAGAGCGGCGCTCGGTGGAATCTGCAGTCATTTCGCCGCGAAATGTTGACGCGGCCGTTGATCGTGTTGTGCATGGCCGCCGTGGCCGCCTGCGTGGTGGTGCAGAAGGACAGCAAGGAGCAGCAACGGTCGGAAGGCACCGAGTCCAGGGTGGCGCAGCTTCAATTCCCCGAAGAACACGTCCGACAACAACATCAGGAGCAGTTTCAACATGTCCTTGTGCCTCAACAACACCAACATTTGCACCACCAGGTATGTTCACTAATTAGCAATAATTATTTATAGTAATAAGTGTATTTAAATTTTAAGCGGCAAAAAAATTAGGAATGTTTGAAATTAATCTTATTTCTAATGATTTTTTTTTATTTTTAAATTAATATTATTATTATTTATTAATAATGATTAAGTGAATAAAAAAAGATCCTTAGAATATATTTATATTTTTTTTAATGGGTTTTATCAGGAATTAATAATAATTTATTGCAGAATTGCTCAATAATTTAAAATAAAACATACAAAAAGTAAATTAAAATTGGCTTTTCTTATTTAATTCTAAATACACTTTGCATTTTTAGTATTTATTAATGTTTACTTCATTCCTCTATATTAGTAGGCTCCATTATTCAAATCATTAAATAGAAATTCTATTTTTTGAGAAAATAAATCATATGCTGCACAAAAATATTTTGAGTTTTTGGAAGAAATAATTAAACAATTTTTACAAAATTCAATGTCTAATTTTAAAAATACATTTCGGAGTTTTAATGAATTCAATCTATTGAGATAGTCGTACTGAAGTAATGAGGTGAACATATTTGAGAGAAAACGAGATCACCGAGACGGACGGACGATGAGTAGCCGCATTGAAAGAGTGGGAATAGGATTTATGTTATAAAATGCAAACAAGCGCGTCCGTCTCTCTGCAGTGTTTGGCAATTTCTCTTCTCTAATTATGCTTTCGATCGCGCGCTTGGAAAGATGCAACGCATGTTTTTATAACTCGAAAAGAGCGCCGCGTGCATTAATTTATCGCGCGCCGAGAATGAAATGCACAAACCCGCCGTCGTTTCGCCTGGTGCAACTTTCTTATAATTTCTCGGCTTACATTATATAGCCCACTTTTAAACAAAGTAGGATGACAGTAAAAATACTATTGTAAAAATCAATGTATATTTCAGTAAATAATACTAATAATATTTGAAGCCAAAATTTAAAAGTGTTTTCAATTTTTGAATAATAAATCTTTCCTGCAGGTTTTATGTGCGAATAAAATTCAATTCATTTATTTGGTTGCAAATTGTGTTATTTATCTCCAAGTCCAAACAAGTCAGAACAATCAATCAAATTAATAATTATATAATTACAATATTAATTTTCTGATCTATAAATTAATGTTACTTAAATAGTTATACTTCAATGAAAAAATCAAGTGTCCTTGTGCCTAGTTTTGGCCTAATTTTCATAATTTTTTTACAATAAATACTTGAGATTACATTTTCCTTTCTATATTTTTGCGGATTAATTTAAATATATTCTTCACAATTTAGATCGCTTCTGGGCAACTGATTGGGCCCGGTGGAGGCGTCCCCCATCACGGGGCGGTGGGGCCGCGCCACCCCCACCAAGAGGGGGTTGCCTATCAGTATGTACCGGTGCAGTACATTCCTGTGCCCATGCCTCACGTGCCCCAACACGAAAAACCGGCCGAGCAATACCAGGTGCTTCATCGGCCGCCTCCAGTCAAGGAGCCCCTTGTGCAAGAGCCGCCTCCACCACCCCAATACGAGACTCAGTTCGTCCCTTCTCGTGAGTTCAATAATAAATAGTATAATTTGCTATAGACATTTTAATTTTTGGAAGTTTTTGAAACAAAATTATTTTAATTTATCCGTGCCTCATAAAAAAACTTTAGAAAAACAAACAACACGAGATTTTAAGCTAATAATTGAGTTTTTTTTTTTCATTTGGACAAGTCGCGTGCAATTAATTTTTATTTTCTGACCTTTCTTTATTTTGTGTTATAAGATGGTTCGCGGCCAGGTTACGAGCCACCCGTGAATCTGATAGCAGCAGGTAGTCCGCATGTGCACTTCCCTGAGGAGCCTGACCACCATCACCGCCACCCTCACGAGGTCGCGCCCCACAGAGGAAACAGGGAGCACAATCTGAAAAGGGTGCTTGTTCCTCTGGCCGGAATCGCATTGCTTGGCGCTGCCGCTGCCCTTGCAACCAACCCTATCCTGCTGCAGCTTGGCGTTGTTTCAGGTCAGAAGAAAATATAAAATTAATTTGCAACTAAAACAAAATTTAATATTCTAAGAAATTTGTATAAATCTTCAAGTTTGCCAAACCGTTTTACTATTATTTTTAAATCAATAAATTTTGAATTTTGAATTATTACAAAAATATTCACTTTGAGCAAAAAGTTATATTATTGGTTTTTATGAAGAAAAAAACTTGGAGATAACTTCAAATTAAAATTGAAGTTTGAGCAAAAACAAGCCCTTTTTGGTGTTTGTCGAGCAGACGTGTGGCGCTTTGCAGGCAAGCGGCGGCGCAGAGACGTGGCCGCCTTCGAACTGGGAGACTTGGCCGCCTTAGAGGACCTTGGCCCCCGAGCTGATGAGGCATCGCCTTTCAAAGAAGCCGCGGTCGGATCAACCAGACTGAAGGAAATCGCCGTCCTGCAGAAATTCCTTCGAGAGGTGAAAAATTATTTCAATTATGTTTAGAAAAGAAAAAAAAAAATTTTTGTACCATTTTTGCAGCAAGACAAGTTGCCGCAAAGGTCACAGGGCAACGGCGACGCCCTTCTGTCAGCTTTGCTGTCCTGCTCAGGTCTCGCTGACCCCCGAAACCTAGGCTGTCTGCAACGCATTGCCTGCGAGGCTTACGACCCGGCCACGGAACTGCCCGAACTTGAGATGCAAGTGCTGAGGATGTAAGTTTTGAAGTGCCTTTCCGTGGGCGAAAAAAGAATTAAAAATTGAAAAATTATACAGAGTGGTGCGTGAGATGGCGAGCCATCCTGCCATTCCTAAGGAGCTGAGCAAGAAGGTGCGGCTGGCCGCCGCCACTGGCCGCAAGGGCAAGTGCGAACTGACCTACCGCTGCCCTCAGAAGGCGTGGGACCAATGTGTCAATCCAAAGTACTGAAACAAATCGATCCAAAATTCAAAATAAAGAATTTCATAAAATTCAACTCCTTTCATAAAGCAATATATGATATTATTTGCTTCGGATATGTATTATATGTAATTATTAAAAAGGAAACTGTTATTGTTATCATTAAATCAAATGTTTTTCTATTAAAAAAAGCATATTTTTTATACTTTCTTCAGATGTTCAGATAATTATTCCACACTTCAACGGGCCATTAAATTTCTTCATCTTGAGCTTTGAGCTTGAAGTCATTATATACATACTGAAATAATAATTTAGTAAAAGCCAAAAGTAGAAATATTATGTGATATAACAATTTGGACAAATAAATAACAATAAATAATAATTATTTTGAATCAATTTTGTATTTATTTTACTTGCACACCATTGCACACTTTATGGGAAAATTTGAAATTTTTTAATCTGGCGATTAAATAATAAAAAATAAATATGCCGAGCAACTAACAAGATATTAAAAATATTAAATTACTTTATAAAACTTTTGAACATTAAAAATGCGCCTTAAAACAGTTTTTTGAACTCCTTAACACTGCAAGCCGAGCTGTTTTTATTCAATTTTTTTTTCTTTTACTAAACTGAGTTCTATAATACAATTTTTCTTGATAAATTATTTCTGTTTATTTTGTAGTAAACTTTTACATCCCTTAATTAAGTATAGCAAAAAATAAATTCACTCTTGATTGGATATGGAAGACTGAATATTGAAATTGATTAAATTAATCGCGCTTCAAACTGGAAACGATTATATTCGCAATCTATTTGTAGCCAAAGGGAAAAAAATGAAATGAAAAGAACACTATAAATATAATGTATCCTTACAAGCAGCGCACACGCATGGCATATAAGAAGTATAGAGAACACTGACCTCGGTCATGCACGCGAGGGGTGCGAGGGGGTGCGTGGTCGCCGTGGCGACGCGTTTGCAGGTTGGGGCGGCTCGCTGGCAGATGTCTCGCGAGTCGGCAGTCGATAATGCGTGGTCGATGGGCACCGTGCGGGCCCTGCACCAGACAGTCGTGGGCCTGAGAACGGCCCTCGAGAGCTGCAAGCAGCAGGGCGAGCTGCTCAGCTCGCAGAACCGCGAGTTGCGCGAGCGCCTCCGCATGGACGACGACGACGACGAGCTCGACGACATCGAGCTCATCTTCACGACCGAGGGCGCCGGCAGCGTCCCACCCCAGGAGCCTCTCGAGTCCATCACCGAGGACGGCGGCCCGCCGTCCGGCGCTCACACGCGATACAGACCCCTTGTACACAGGTACAGAAACACTAAGTTCACATTTAAAATTAAAAATAATAATAATGTAATCTAAAATCAGGAAATATAATGCTTTTCAAATTTGATACTTTTATATATTTACAACGAAAAATTTGCAATTTTAATTGTGATTTAAATTATAAATCATTTTTTTTTTTTAATTCATAATGTATCTCTAAATCAAAATATTTCGTCTTTTGGTTTGAACTGCGTCTCAAACTGCCATATTATACGCAGGCACTTGATTTCCAAGTAATCGATTAGTGACCAAAACAGCCGCGCATTTCCACAGCACTTCGAGTGTTCGTGAGTAAATAACCCCCTTCCCCGTCGATGAATTCAAATTAGGATTACACGGTTGGAAAGGGGATCCGTAGCCCCGTCTTATCACTGCAATACCCTTCCAAATTTTATTGAAAATTAAAAAAAATGTTCAAAACTTCTTAGATTGAGCGACTTTAAATATTTTGTTTTGCATTTTGCGCAATTGAATCTTATAAGGTTTATGAACAAATGCTTGCTAAATTTTTTTATTTTAAATTAGAACTAGGTCGAGGAAGGTTCATTGACCTGAATGCAAGGAATTTTATAAATATGTAGTTATCAGTAATTTAAAGAAAAATAAGTTCGGTAACTTATTTTTATGTATGGACACTTTCAGGACCGGAATATGATGAAGTTTACTGATTTAAGAGCATAAATTAAACTTCTCTTGTCAATTTCCATTTCAATTCCAGGAAATTATTGAATGTTGTCGGGCTCGCCGTGAAAGCATTTTCCTTTTGATTGGATATTAAAGCATATAAATAATTGCTTGTATTTAACAGTCTTTTTAACAGTTAACTAATGCGTTTCGATTTTCAATGCACTAATTATTCCAATTGATTGGTGACGCATTGAATTTATTTTGTATTACATCGACTTTTTTAATTTGGGTAACCGTATTATTCACATTTGTTTATATATTATATATCAAATATAAAACCATTTAAAAAAAAGAAAATGCCAATTTCTTATAAAATAGCTAACGTTTGGATTTGTCATTATGTTGACTGACAACCTCTAACCAAAAAAAACTGGTTAGATTGATTGATGGCCTAAAATTTCTCGAAATGTATTACTTCGTTTTTTGAAAGACCTGTATGTATTTGGACAGGGATGCGTTGCGTGCGACCCGCGCCCCAGCTGCGCCCCGCAGCAGCGCGGGCGCGCAGACGGACGTGACAGCCGTGCAGTGGCGCAGCGAGGGCTTCCTCAACCGACGGCCGCTGCGGCCCATCTTGGGGCCACGAGCGAACGGCAACAACACCAAGCCGCTGTCCAACCTGGGCTTCACGGCGATGGTGCCAGAGCTGAGTCGCTCGGTGGACCACGACCTGGCCCGGCCGCCGCCGCGAACCGTCGAGCGCTGGCCTTGCGAATGCTTGGCCGCCTCTGCCCATCACTGGGACTCTCTCCGAAGTCCCTGGTGCGATAAGGGTAGGTTTACAAAAAAATTTAATAGAAGAAACTTCATTAAGATAATTCTTCCATCCAATTTGTTCTATTTAATTTTTTTGCTTTATTTTTCGCAAAACACAAATTCAAAATAAGTTTTCAAAAATAATGTTTTGCAAAGATTTGTTATTGATAATGTTAAATAATATTATCAATTGCATGTATTTGAAACTGTAACTTAAAATAAAATAAAAATTAAAGAAAAAGCGCACAATGAATTGAATTTTTTTGTATAAAAAGAGTGTGGGCTTAATTAAATGGCGATTATAATCCAACAAGTTTGGCTTAGGTGTCAAATTAGTCTGCTTTGTTTGGCCTTAAAAAAATTATTAAAAAATTGCAGAACGAAGGCGTTTTTCTTGGCGAACAGCACAGAGCAGCGCTGAGACAAATCGTGGCACCCTGACCAGAAACAGCGCAGTCTGGGGATCCGTCCCAGCGTCACCTGACGTTCCTCCACCAGGGTTAGTTTAATAAAAAATTAATTAAATTTAATAAAAATTTAAGAAATTATATGATTTTGTATGAAAAAATATTTCATTATTTTTTGTTGACTAAAATTTTAAATCGGGCAGGCCGTTTATCGAGTGGGCAGGAGATGAGCAGTGCTGCTGCTGCCGTCGCCGCGTCTTCTTGTCGTCGCCGTCTCTCGCGGCGCCGCCGGCCACGTGGCTCGTCCGAGGCTCACTGCCCGACTTGCGGGCGCCAGAACAGCTGATGCTGGACCTGCGACCTCCACTCACGTCGCGACCATTCCTGCCACGACAACTGCGCGACCTCAAGGAGGATTGCCTGGCCAAGGTCATCGGGCCTGAAAATCGCGTCCTGGTCGGCAGAGTCCGATTCGTGGGCAGCGCCAGCGCGGCCGGTTTTAAGGAGCCGGTCGTTGGACTCGAAGTGGCCGAGTACGGCGACTCGGACGGAACCGTCAATGGACATAGACTGTTCTCCTGGTATGTTTAAAAGTAATTTAATTTTAAGAGAACAGAACAACAGAAGATTAAAATATAATAAAGTATAGCTGGGACAAAAATATATAAAAATTGTTGCGATTTTCTTTGTAAATTTGATTCAATACAATACAAAATTAAAATTGTTATTAATTTAATTAATATGAAAAGCTGTATGTACCATTTTTTATTTTTATTTTTTTTATTTTGACAAATTCAATAATATTTTAATAATAAATTCATTGTTTTTCTGAATATAAAATACAGAAAAATTGTAAGATTGTTCTTTAAACTTCTTCAAAATGTTATGATTGGATCTGTTGAATGAGAATCAGGTTTCTAATAAGTTTTTTTTTTTTGCAGTGAGCAGGGTCGCGGCCTATTTGTTCCGTTTCGAAAAGTCATCCTCGCCTGGCACTGTTGAGACGATGAGAGTCCACATTTATCTCTCCGTGTATAAATGTTTCCTACTCCACCACAGTATCAGCTTGACGATTTCATTTTTTTTCCTATCTACCATTAATTAATGTATACCAGATTCACCCACAACAAAAGATACATAGGTTCTTCTTCCAATCACATAAGCATTATTCATGTTTGAATAATATTAATAATCCATCATTGTTCTTCTCTCGACACGAAAATTAAAAGACAACCTTTGCCTTACAAATTCGTTAGAGCAAAACTGCCTCTTGATAATGGCTTTAATGTTCAAAAGTAAGAAGTATGTTTTCCCAAGACTGTGAACTGAGATAGTTTAAAAAAGGCAGCAGTCCTGCGGATGTGTAATTTAAATGTTCTCAATAAAAAGCAAATTCCAACGTTTTTTCTGGTGTTTTTTTTTTTATTGAAAAATCTTTTCCATTATTTGTCAAATCTGGTGGACTTTATTAAAATCCACGGCGTCTTCTCTTTTACTCCTAAATTCAATGTACTTAAAATGTGATGCGGGGAAATGATATAAATAAATATAAAATTGGGATAAAATAGGATTTGCTCAAATGAAAAAGAGAATCACAAAGGAATAAAAGCTGGCAGCTCACCTACAGTCTTGGTCCTCACCGGCCGCACAGCCTTGCTCACCTCCTGCTGATCACTCTGGTAATATCTCGGGTCTTTTTTCTTCTCCTGCTTCAAATTAAATCATGAAATAATTCAATCAACATAGAAAGTTAACAAATAACCTTGTCATTTTTTAAGATCTGCTGATCACAGGCTTTGTTTTGACGTTTGAAAAGAGTGGTCTGAGGCAAATGGGCGCGTTCACAAGCGTCTCCTTTTGGGCATCGACCCAATTTTCGAAAAACCGTACACACTTGTAAAGACGAGCGTCTTTTACTGGACAAAACTGTTAGACTCCTCTGCTTGGCTTGTCTGTAAATTATTACTTGTTTATGTCAACAAAGGTTTAAATTTATCGACTAACCTAATAATGGATTGCAGTCTGGTCAGTCTTGTGCCTCCGTTGCTCACAAATCTCTCTCCGCTGAGAACTTTAATTGCTACAAGATTATATAGAGTTAAATAAAAAATTTCTTATCAGAATTTTCACACTCGCCCACCTGTTTTTCTTTTGTCACTTGGACTAGCCAGCTTATTACTCTTGGTTGTTGACCTTCTGACCCATTTGGTTTTGCTTTTGAAAATTATAGGTGAACTCTTCGGTTTTGTCGTGGACCCCGACGTCGTCGCTGCAGGCTGCTTCTTCAGGATCAACTTGTTTTTGCTTTTAAAAAGCACCCTGGGACTCTTATTGCTATTAAGAACCTTTGGGTTCACGTGGATAGCCTTGGGCTGCTGGAACGCTGGATTGACGAGGATTTTCGTTGGGGGTGGCGGAGGCTCGAAGTTTGGATTGACCAAGATCTTGTTTCCTCGGAAGTTTGGGTTCACCAGAATCTTGGAAGGCGCGGCCTGCGGAGGCACAAGCAGGGCAGGGTTGCGCCAGCTCCGAGAAGGGCCCTTTGGCGCTTTTTTCAATCCAGAAGGTGCGACCTTGTGGCCTGATTCGATTTTGTGATTTGCGACCAGATCTGAAAATCTCCTGTTTAGGAAGTTGGCCGACGGTTTAAATACAACTGACTTACTTTTGTAATATTCTAATTCGTTCAGAAGTCGTTGTTGCTCAATGGAAGTCATTTTACGGAGCGATTTTTACAAATTTCAAAAGTAGTTATGTCGCAGGCACGATGACGACATTTCTATTGTTGACTTTGACTACTATCGTGTCGTGAAGTTAACTACCATCACATACACAAAATGTCCAGCTGTAGCCGAGTGTACAACATGGACATTAGAGGCTGGATTGGTCGAGACGCCATTTTTCGCTTTCAATACGCCTGGCGGCCTGGGATGCTGAAATCAAAAAATGGCGTCCAGCTTCAAATAGTGTACAAAAAGGAATTCCTTACAAGTATACCAACCAAATCAGAGTACACAAGGAAATCATAGATTGTGCATTTTTGCAAGCAAACTGGAAATTTATACTATTCACCTTGGCGACAAAAAAAAAAATTCTTTGATGTAGAGTTTTTGAGCGATATGTTAATAATATATAGGAGTTGTTTATATATCCAGAACTTTTCTCAGTTGATTGTTTATTCAAAGTTTGAAAAATGCGTTTTTTTTAAGTGAAACTAGTTTCAAAATATTAAAGTTCTTCAAGACAAAAATATTCCAACACTTTGGCTTGTCAACAAGTCTTTTTGCTTCCACCGCTAAGCTGGCTCAATTGAGCGACGGAGTGGCAGTAGCGAGCCACTGGACTTCCAAACTTGGCCACTTGGTTTGCAGGCACGTTAGCATAGCGTTGCTGTCAGACATGCTGGGTCCAACCAAACTCTCAAGAGTCACAGCCTGGCCTTCAATATATTCCACCTGCAAAAGCTTTTGCAATATTTCCTACAAAAAATTTTGTAAAATTTTTACCTTTCCATTGGGGCAAGATCTATGCAGTCCATTGTAGTGATAGAGAGGAAAAGTATCAGGCGTGGAACTTTTTTCAGTTGGGAAAAACTCCTCCATGAAGGCATTCAAGAGAATGATTCCTAGGTTTTCACTGTCGATCTTTTTCCTTATAATTTCAACACTAAAAGAAAAAGTAAATTTACGAAAGCAACTAATCACTTTGACTCACTATTCAGGTTCTGAAACTAAGTCTAACGCTTTGAGAACATCTGCCAAGAATTTGGTCTGAATAAAGTTGTTGCCCTCTGGGTCGAAGCTTTTGAATACTCTCCGTCCAGCTTCGCTTGCTGTTTCGGGGCTCACAAGTTTCTTCTCAACCGAGAATAAAACTGCATGACAAAATCAGTACAACAAAATTAATTAATTAAATTAATCGCCATATTAGTTCTTTACCTGTTAGGTGGGTTTCACTTCCCAGAACCCAGACAGGGGTTTTGGGACTTTTGTAAAAGGAGCCAACCTCTAGGTATCTAAGATGCTCCAACAGAGTCAAAAAGCCAACCTCACTCTGTCTATCTATGCCCCTTAAGTTAAGACCGCCAACATTTTGATCCCCATCCCAAACATTTCCAACAGCACGACCAGTAAGCACCAGGTTGATCAAACTTTGACTGCCATAGCCATGGTTGTCATCAATCATAGGCTCAACAATATCGGACAGCTCATTTTTCATTTCCTCCAGACCCTAAAATAGAATTAAATTAGCACTCTTATATTCTCAGTGGCTTCCGTAACTCACTCTGGTACCCAAAACTGAGTAAAGGAAAAGTAGAACACCGTAAGTAGATTTCAGTTTGTCAATGTTCTTCAAAATTTCAGCCGGTAGATTTTCTCTACTAACGTTCTCCACCCTGAAGATTAAAGAGTAAATTTAGGTTACACATAAATTTGCAGCGCTATTTTACTGCAGTCTTTGATGGAAGTCGGAAGAGCAGACTTCGATTTCCTCCGCAGGCTTTGCAGGTGAAGCCTCAGATTCTTGATTTGGCTGGTCATCAGCTGCCTCCACGGACGCAGGAGATTCCTCTACTGTGCTTGAGACTTGTGGCTGAAGGGCATCATCTAGACGGAAAAGTTTTATGGAATGATCCTCGACGGCAGCCTGCAGAAGCACTTCGCTCAAGGCACTTGCCAGTAACTCGTTACATTGACTAGGATCCACCTGAGAAAAATAATGAAAAATTTCATCATTTAATAAAAATAGATTTAATACTGACCGTTCGCCATTGCTCACGCAAGCTGTTGCCCTGAATCAGGGACTTCAGAATAAATGCTTGAACTGGGGCCAAAACGGCACAGGGACCACCTTCCCATTGGACGAGAGCGGTCGGTTCAGCGTCACTGAACACGAATCCTTAATTGAAAATTATGTTAGCTACAAAAATTGCTGGACAAATTACGAGGTCAAACCTTGAGACCACCGTTTGAAGACATCTTCTTTCACACTGGGACCCCAGAGCAGATTCTTGAACTCATCAACAGACATTATTCTGCCAATTTCAGAACTCAAATAGCTCGGCTCGACTGAGCCACGGGCTAATTTTTTTTAAACACACCAGAGTTCACAATTTTATTATGAAACGGGCACACGGCACTACGGCAAGCATGCCGCTACTTCAGACGTCGATTCCGCTCCGTGGCTCGGCGACAGTAGAAAATATTCACGTGCCTTCGAGTTCTGCAACACTAGCGAATGGAGAAAACAAATTTATTTTCACCATTCCTAGGGAAAAGTTACGGAATTTGCAAAAAACAAAAGGATGCACAGCCACCTGTGATTGTGTTTTGTATCCATTTGTTCAATAATTATTATGTCTAATATGTTGGCTAAACTGCAAAAATGCTAATAACGAGGTTGTTCGTTCACGAAGAAAATCGCTTCGTAGAGCCAACTTCACACAGCTCGCAAACCATAAAAGGTTGCTATGGCAACAAACGGATTGCGAGTGAACGAACGGCAAGAAGGAATTATCCTTGTTCCAATTCCCAATGCCAACTTAATAAATTTAAAATTTTTAATAAAAATCAAATTTTGTATGCCTTTTAATAATTTTTGGATCGAGTTATTTAAATATTAAAATTTTTAATATAATTTCGCTCAGTTAAATTCTAAAATGATGGGAATTTTTTTTAAATAGCTCCAATTATGATCTGAATATTGTTAAGTTGGTCGTTGTATTCTTTATATTCTTGATTCTTGTCTCTTGATGCTTGATTGCTTGATTCTTTCAAAATTCAAAAACGAACAAACGAGTTATAACGGAAAATAAGAGTCGGGCAAGATTTTTGTGAAAAACGGAAATTTTGCGAGTTTTTGTTGGAGAATTTCACCAAAATGACAGAAGAGAGTATGGACTTTACCGTGACGCCCGTTCCTCCGGAGGGCCATCGATGGTTCTGCGAACTGGACGGTCGTCTGCACAGTCGGCCTCGTCAAACTCCCTTCACGTCCATCAACGGCTCGCCTCTGATTTCCTCTGTTGCGGTTCGATCTCATAATTCCGATGGCGACTTCCTTAATTATAAATGACTTTTGTTTTGCATAGGCGTTCTGCGAAAGCCTAGACGCGCCTAGTGACAAGGCGCATGGAGAGCAGTGGCGGGCTCCACTCGAGCATCAACCAGGTGGCCTCTTCCTGGCCGCCCCAACCTCACTAGCCAAGGCCTTTGCGGCCACCTTCTATCACCACGGCTGGACGGCCGCGATCGAAATGCTCGCGCACAGTAATGTCCATCCTCTTGGCCGCGTTCTGCGGCGTCTGGTGTCCCCAGTTAAGCACCAAGCAGGCGGCCACCACCCTCTCCTTGCTGCTCATCCAACGGCACCCTTACTAGCTGTTGCGTGCAGAGAAGATGTGGTCCGCGTGGTTGGATGGGCCAAAACCCAGGCACACGATTTTAAGGCCAAACACCGCGTTTTATGTCTTGCCTGGCGCCCGTATGCACAGTACCTTGTGGCTGGTTGTGCCGCTGGTTTACTTATTTGGAGTGCTAAACAGGTGAAGATTGAAAGAATACCAAAAAATCCAAATTATTTCATTAACTTGATGCTTATCGTTTAGGAAAACAAATACTCTGATTTGGTTTCTGGAAAGCACAACTTATTGCGAGCTCCAAATGGCCGCCCTGTGACCACTGTGTCTTGGCACCCTAAAGGCGACCTCCTTGTGGCTGTTGCTGGCCGTCAGATGTACCTCGTTCGGCCAGAGACGGAGCACTGGTGGCCTCTTCCCCAAAGCCACGCACCTCAGCTTCTCATTTGGTCTCCGTGTGGCCACCGTCTGCTGACTGCTTCCACGGGGGCAGTATTCCACTTGTGGGACACTGCCACGTGGACGGCAGAACGATGGACTGTTTCTAGAGGATCCTTGGTGGCCGCATGTTTCAGTCAGAACGGCCGCTTGTTAATTTTTGGAGACGAAGCAGGAATCTACTGCTTACCTCCAGATGGACCTGCCTTTTTGGTCGACCAAACCAGAGTGGCCGCTCTGGCCTGGAATGGGGACCTTTTGGCTGCTGTTCATTACAACAGTGATGTTGTCCACATTTATAGCACCCAGACTGAGCCTCAACTAAATATTCGACCGAAGTAAAAATATTTAAAAATTTTATAGAGCAACAATCTAAAAAATTTTTTTTTTCAGTTTCATTATTGGTGGAAAGGAAGGAGAAAGTCCATCAGCCATCGAGTTCTTCCCCAGTATTAAAGGTGCCACTGTGCTTGTGATCCTCTGGTCCTCAGGAAGGACTCAAGCCTTCCCTTTTACTACAGAAGTTGAGTTCTGCAGATATCACAACCAGAAGGTCTGAACTCAAAAGACTGTGATGTGGCTCAGGATAATTGGTATTTTGTTATCTGAACTCAAAACGTAATGAGCAAAAACTTTCAAATTCATATTAATATCCTTTCATTACTTGATTAAACGGAGAGTGTTAAATGAATTGAGTGCATAGTTAATTTTACAAATCAAAAAACGCCTCTTTGAAACTCAACATGGTTTTCGTTTATTTCGCATCGGAGAGATCTGGGTTTTTAGCACAGGTATGTTAGTCTTCGTGGTCGGGCCAAACATTCTCGATTTCCTCCTCGGCCGGCTTCTGCTGTGCGGCAGCAGCCGAGGGGACCAGCAAACTGTGCACAGCAGGAAGACGGAAGAAGTAGGAGGCGGCCACACTGCCCAGGGTGGCCCCCAACCAGTAGACAACAAAGAACTGGGCAAACGTGTGGCCTAGGCACCCCAGCTTGAGGCCGGTGGCAAGCAGCGGGTTGTAGTAGCCACCCGAGTAGTTGAAACCGAGCACCACAAGGGATGTGCCGATGAAGGAGTCGAGTGGTGCTCCGTGCTTGGGACCTAGCTCGCCAATTGTGCGTGAGCACACTCGACACACAAAGGTTGCCGCCAATTCAACAAGGGCACCATACAGCACTGGAACCTGCAGTGATTAAGAGGTAAATTAAGAATAGGGTTATGCTATTTATAATAAAAAACAATAAAGTTACTGTAAAAGTAGTGCAACAATATTTGTATAATTTTTTTAATTGATGAACTGATTTTGCAATTTTAAGTATCATTTGTAATATCTCTTATTTAGAATTGATGAGGTTAGTGTTCTTTAAAAGTTATTTGAAAAACTTAGGATTACCATAATATGTAAAATTGAACAAAAAATCTTCGATGAAAGAAGAATGAGCCAAATAAATATAATTTTCAGATCTTAAAGATTTTTACTCCAAAATTTATTTTTTAAAAAAAAATATTTATTATATAATAAATAAAAAATGGTTTAAAATTAATTCTCTATAAAAAAATTTTTGGAAATTAATTTTATTTTCCTTTCTTCTGTTTACCTGAAGGTCGGCAACGCACTTTGAGTCTGCCCTGTCCTTGTGGTTTTCCACCATTTCAAGACCCCAAATAAGCTGGATGTACTGAAAGACTGAAAGGGCGCCTATCAGGCCGAAGATGGTCTTCAAAATGACTACTCCGTAGTTGGTGCGGCCTTCGAGCAAGTCCTCAAGGTAAGTGTACGGGCAGGCGGTTGCGTCGCCCCAGTGTTTCGACCACCAAATTGTCAGTAAAAATAGAGCCACTGCGTACGCTCCCACGCCATAGTTGTCAGCAACTGAAAGTTGAATTTTAATTTAGAGAAGTTGGAGTTAAAAATTTGTTAACAAAAATTTAGATAAAATTCTCGAAAATTTCAATATCTCTATAAAGATGAAAAGTTGCTTAGTGGAGTTGGAGTGTCTCTTAAATAGAGATGGAATGGAGCCTGCTTGTGAAACAAGCTGAGCCCTCGCGGTGTTGTTGTTGGTCGCAAAAATAAATTAGGGAGAGTCAATGAGCCAAGAGAGCCGGGCAGAATGAACGGAGAGAGAAAGAAAGAGTGGAGTTAAGACCTGGATATTCTCCAAAGCTCAATTTATTGTACTACTACTTAATCTAATTTTTCCAATTGAAACAAAATAATATTTTTTAATTTTTAAATATTAAATTATAATGAATTCAAAATTAGTTATTTTACATACTGATTATGAGTTCATAGCAGCATCCGCAAAGCTCGAAAGCGGCAACCATCTCCTCGAGGCATTGTCGCCAGACGCCGGGGTCGGAGGCACCGCGAACCGCGCTTCGCAGGTACTGGCTGATGCTCAGCGTCAGGCAGATACAGGCCACCGAGAAGGCCAGGGGGCTGATCTCCAGCACATCCCGAACCCCTGCTCAAACACAATTAAATGTTGTGAAAACACGTTTTTTGCAATAAATTGCGGAAAACCGTCGAGAATCTCGGCGATGCTAATCCTCATCGCGGAGGCCGCCGTGTCAAACTGCGGCCAACTTCCTTCGGCCCCGCAGCGGCTATTTTCGGACGCGCGTCCCCTCCGACCAACGCCTCCGCCCAGCGCGTTTGGCACCGAGCCGTTCATCAGTTGTCCATGGTCATTTCGCCAGATTCATTTTTATCTCTTATTTTTGCAACTTGCAAACCCTCTTAAACTTTCCCCTGACAAGCAATAAATAATCTAAATTTTATAATTCAACATTTTTAAGTTAAAGCTAAACCTTTTAATAAAAAAAAAAAGGAAAAAATATACAAATCCAAATGAAAATGAATTTTACTGCTAATAATTAAACTTTCGATAGGAGGCTTAAATTTACAGAAATTTTTCGAAATTGTTTTTCACTTCAAATTTATTTTGTTTCACAAAATATGTGGAAAATATAACGAAATACTCAATATAGATGCAAAAAATCCATGGAAATATTTTTTTACTTCGGTGCTCTGATGTTAATTGCAAGTAGAGCGCCTTTTATCAATTGATTGATTGAATGAATGATCCATACTTGACGGTGCGGTCAAAGTCGCGGTTTGCCAGAACGAAGACATCCCGGGGTCACTGGGCCGCTGCACTCGCCCCGAAAGTTTTGATTTAGCAGGGTGGAATGAAAGCAATGAAAAGAATGCTGCGTCCTTGGCTGCTAGTTTGCACTCTCGGTCGCCAGGGCCAACTTTTGAAATTGCGCTGGCCGCGCCGCTCCGAGCACAAACTAACCGCGAGCACAGATAAAATGCTCAATATTAAAACAATATTTACTCAAACGAAGGAGATGAACGTGTCCAAAGCCAATCGTAAAACTCGTGCGTCATTGAGCGATAAATTTATTCAGTTTTTTTTCTGTTAAAACGATTAATGTCTTCAACGCTACGTCTCGTTTTCTTGTTTAATTGTAATTAGCGTGGTTATATTTTATTACACACCTTGATGGTTAATGGTTGCTTTAAATTGTTAAATGAGAAACGTGTCGCTACCGCTGAAACTTGAAGCTCTCCTAGTAACAAATTCGCTTCATGTGCGAACAGATGGCGCCTTCAAGTCGATTTGCCTCCGCACCGTATGAAAATAATTTTGCTATAAAATAAAAATTATTCAATTTTTTTTTTTAATTTTCATGAAAATTCTAAAACATTTCTTATTATATTTTAACATTGTACTAAAATAAATATCACTATTTTATTATGAGAGAAAAAGCCACTCGCGTGATTCGAGACAGCGTGGCGTCCGTCGATCTCTACCAACATCTTGGCGGTGAGCTGGTTTTGGCACATCCCCTATTTGGCGAGTGCTTAATAATTGACATTCCGTGCACTCGAAGGACGGAATCGGCAAAACCAATCCAGTTTTTTCAGAATGAAGAGTTGTGAGCTTATATCATTGAGAAAATATGATATGGTGGAAATGCTTTGATTTAAAATTAAATTTATATTTATTTCAAGGAAAGCAAAAGCGATCTGCGAGCGATCGCACCATTTTTTAAAAAGATGATCGCAATCGCAAAAGTCAGTAGATCGCATGCGATCATTTTTGATTTTTTTTCTTTTACGCAAATAAATTTTAATGCTATATCTATAAATTATATTTCATGTGTACAGCGGTGCATTTGGTAAGAAGATTTCTATAATTTATATCTAAAGCTAAAGTTCTTGAGTAAGAAAATTTAGAAGCAGGCTCGTTTAAAAGCGTAAATCACCCACTTAGAAAACTCATTAATAATGAATAATTTAAATCAAATAAATCTTTTGCATTAAAAATAATAAATAAAAATCAAATAATTAAAGTCAACCAGGGCAATCCAAATGACAGACCTGTTCCTACCTCTTTGTTGTCGAATTGAGCTAGAATGGAGCTTAATTTTTCCAAAATAGATTATTTTTATTATTTTTACGTAAAATGTCTTCCACGCTTTTTAAGATTTCATCATTTTACTAAAATAAATCGTTAATATTATGAATGATCCCATGGTTTTTTTATGCTGTGAAAGTCAAAGTTTATTTTCACATTGATTAAAGCTTATAAATTTAATTCATAAATTTTTATCAAACAACTTTTATTATTGTTGTTTATTTGTCCAAATTGTTAAATCACATTGTTTACATACAAATTGTTGAAAACATTTATTTGGAAAAAAGAAATTGTTGGACAAAACGGCACCACCACTAGCAAAAATTTTGCTAAAACTTCCGAGGCCAAAAAGACCCCATCCGCCGCAGTGAGCCTCGGTTGTTTTTGTTATTAAATAAAAATTTAAAATTTTATTTTAGGGATTTCTTTAAAAGTAACGTACCAATTTTTGATAATTTTTTTAGACTCTTTTAGCTTCTTTGTTCAACTATTTTGGGCTTACGGGGTTCCCTTTGTTCTTTTTATATATCACTGCTAACTTTATGTTGAGATTTTTAAGACCATTCACTCTCTAATCGAACTGAAAACTGCTCCGAGCAAGGAAGAACCATTTGGTTGATGTTCGTCCCATTATCGCGATTTATTTAACTCATCAAAACACTTCAGTCGTTATAGCCGCGCTTCTTTTTTATGAACACGCAGCTCACAGGGCTTTTTAATTTTATTGCTTCCTGCTCCCGACCTAGACCAAAAAACGAAACGCTCTGTAAAAAAAGATAACGAAATTGAATTCTCTATTCTGTATAACAAAATAGGCTTAGAAACACATCATAAATTCTACGTTAGCTTTTATATTGTTAAAATAAAACATAATGAAGTCATCTCTGCGCACGAGGATGTTGATTTATCGTTTTGCGGAAAATGGAGCAAATTAAAGAGCAGCGATTGTGCTTCATTGTTGCAATAGAAGAGGAAAAAATAATTAAATTTAACAATTATTATAAAATAATATAGAAAATAAGAAATAATATTGCTTAAAATCAGCATTTTTAAACTGTTAATAATTTTCATGGTTTTATCTTATTGTTAGAATCACACAAAAAGATTTCTCCTATTTGCGTTACCTATATTCTTGAAGTAAAATTATAATACAACAGTAATACTTTAAATTTCAATGTCACCTTGACCAGAAACTAATATAAATTACTTTTTGAAGAACATTTGGGCTCTTGTATGACCTCTTTTTTAAAACATAATTTCTTCTTCTATATGTTAAATTTCTGCAGACCATGTCAGGAAATCAGGAATTATCATGAAAGAAATTTATGGAAAAATTTATCTGAGTGTTTAATTCAATCTCTGCAGCCGTTAATTACATGGCCTTGGGTAGAAACAATGCATTCAGGGATTAAGAGAACAGAGGCAATTAATCGGAACAAAGACGCAAAAACGTGGGCGCTGCTTTTTGCCACGTCGTCGCTAATGAGCGGAGAAATTTTCCAATCGTCCTCAAAAGCCGATTATTTGCCAACGGAGGGCTAGTTTTTGCGACGAAAACGCGCTCGATTGATTTTCGCGCATTTTTGAGCAACCGAGTCACGGCCTCTATATTTTTTCCTTCGCTCACCTGCCTTAACGCTGTGATGCGGGCACCGGCACAAGACGCTCGCTTCTTGGTCTTCTCTTAATGCGGGTCATCTCGCTAAAATATTTTTTCTAATTGTATTTTCGCGCATCTGTCCCGCGTCCAGGTGCTGTCTGCGAATTTTTCAAGCAGCACGAGCCGACCGACGGGTCAGAGTTGTAAAGCTGCGATCGGGCAAAAGTGAACGCCGCGCATAAAACGTGAATAAAAATTCCGCACTGCTTTGTTGTTCGGCGCAAATCGCTCTTAAAACGAAAACAAATCAGTCCGCCCTCGAGAGTAACTGCCACAGGTCACATAACTTGACCGATCGCGCGCTTTCTTCGATGCAAACCAGGAAGAAAGAAAGTCTTATTATTTTATTGGTGCGCTTCAAGCATAATCATAGAGCTAGTTAACAGTTCTGCGGACCACCCTTGGCATAAAATTAAGCGTTTTATAAGATTTTTCTAAAGGGTAAAGGTTCTGGAATTTACTTTTAAATATTATTAGTGCTTGTTGTTGCTCTTATTTGTGTTCATTTGTAAAAATCTACTAATAATTATTGTAAAAAATTAAATATGTTGTATTTTAATAGATCTCTAAATATTTTAACTTATTAATAATTTAAGAATTGAGATTTGACCCAAGCTAGAAATACACTAAATTTTGAAGAAGATAATATTCGTTATTGTTATACTTCCGAGGTTTCGTTTTTTACACAATTACATACAAGTAAATAAAAACAACTTCTGTTAAATTCTTAAAAGAAGACTGATAAAAATACCTTAAAAAAAAATTAAAAATAGCTTCAAAGGGCTCTCAGATTACATAATAATGACTTATCATGACTTATATAATGTAAAATGTAAGAGCGGGGGTGCGTCAGATAGTGGAATATAAAATTTTTGTAATCAAATTTAATAATGAATGCAAAACATTTTTATTCTTTTATATTCCACTCATATATGGCTTTGTTTTTAACACTCAAATTATTTTAAATCTTTAAAATGTGCTTAAAGATTTGCAAAACTTTACGTATCTATGCCTCAGAAGGTATTCAAGAAGCATTTTTGCTTTATCATTATTTCATTTTGGTTTTGTTTTCAAATTTTTATCGTTTCATAACATATTAATCGCAATCATCATATTAAAAATAACAATTTAAAAAATAAACTGATGAATTGGGGATCTTTAAAAAAATTTAGCTCAAAGAAATACAAAGAATGGTCATTTAGTTGTCTTTAAAATTTTTTAGTTTATTTTGAGAGATATTGCCAATTTTTATTTTATTTCAAGTACAATTTTCCTAAACTAATGATTTTCTGTATCTGAATAAATTATTTGATCACAATAATATTATATTATAATAATTCTAATTGCTGTAAAATAATTTTGCTTTGGTACATCTCGCTCCTTTTTCTGAAACTCGTTGCTGCGGCAGAGAGATCCATCGCTCTGCGTGTCCGAAAAAGGAGTCGGCGACCAGCGTCCAGCTCTCGCGGACCGCTTTTTGCTGTCGCAGGGCGACGAGACGCGCATTTTATTTTCGCGGAAAGGGAGCACGACGCGTATATTATTATTTTATACATAGAGGGTGCAAAAAACAGGACGCTTCTGCTTTTGGTCATCGCGC